TAAAGAGTCCAGAACAAAATGTTATTTGAAAAAAATCCAAAAAATGTCTTAGAATTGTACACGTATATTATTAATGAGCAAAATACTACGGTCTGTGTTTCGTCTATTTTTATTCAAAATTTTGATATCCAATTATATATAACAATTTATACTAAAATTTTGTAAATTTTATCTAGTTTTTATTGATGTAAAGAAATTAAAGTGTCCGGAACAAAATTTTTAAATTATTTGGCGAAATCTAGAGCAATGCTTTGACCTTAAATAATAAATAAACTGCTCATTCGAGGAAAATTAAATAAAAAATTAAATTTAAGGCTACAACATTTTCTTAAGACTTTAGAGCTACTCGGTATACTCTAAAATAGTAATAAAATCAAAACAAAAAATATATAAAAAATCTTGTTTACAACTTTTAATCCACTATGGCAATATGGATTCGGTACAATTATGCGTTACATCTTCTGTAACTTTTAAACTAATTGATTAATGCAAATGATGTATTCAACAAATTTGTACAAAATTAAACAATCTACAATATTGTCTAATACCATAAGCTCTATATCAACTCGGTATACCCAAAAACTGTTTCAAAAACCCATTAATTTTTTTCTACTCTATTTAGACAATAGTCGGAGACAGTACTATATATTTTACGTGTCCTCTTTCTCGGCGCGAATAAATCTAAATTTAAATTTAAAACTTAACCTTTCGAATTATCTTTTAACCCCGAATATGTTAAAGATAACAAAATGCGAACAAAGTTTATATGAATAATGTAGTACAATTTATATATTCGATTTCAATGTGAGACTCTCTGTTCGATATTGAATTCAAGGCGAACGACATTCATAAAAAATAATTCAGACTTCCTGAGTTAAATTATTAGAAAGGTAAATTAAATATTTTGATAGCTGGTGAATGATAAAATTACAAATCGGAACGTTAGAAATATTTTAATATAAATTTAAAATATTTTATTAAGTTTAAATATTTTATTTGGTTGGGCCAATTTTTGGTAAAATAGAAAGGACCTCAGAAAGTAAATACTAGGTGACTTTTGATGTAAAAAAGATTTAGGGAATTAAAAGACGATATTCAGATAGGGATGTAAAAGTTTAAGAAATAAAAAGTGATAAAATTCATATATCTTTTACAAATATAAACTTAAAATGGTTAGATAAAATCTGGCAGAACCAATAAAAATACTAAACTTTGTTCTAAATATTTGGTTTTAGGATATTTTTTTAAATTTTGTCAAATAACTAGATAAAATTCACTAACATGTAGTATAAATTGCCACCTACACTTATATATAAAAAAATGAATGAATTTAGTCGAAACGCAGACTTGAGTATTTTGCTCAATATTTGGTTTCAGGATATTTTTGTAGATTTTGCTAAATAACTTGCTAATTTTGTTCCGCACATATTAGTTTATTTATATGAGTGAAAATTTACTAAAATATAGTATAAATTGTTAAATACACTTATATATAAAAATTTTGAATAAATTTAGTACAAATTGTTATATATACTTGCAGTTTTAAAAAAAATCTAAATTTCAACTCGAGTGAGTTCTATTATAATTTTGTTAAAAACAAATTAGTCTCCAATTCATGTTATTATTTATAAAGATTCCTTGAAAATGCTTTAGTTATAAATAGACATTCAATAAAAAATCAATATATAAAACCCAACAATACAATATAAGACACTCAGGGTTTCGTAAAATCATAAATATTCGTGTGACACACTTTCTCAATCAAATTTCTCACTTTCTACAAAATGATATAATAATATCGATTGCCAATTAAAGAATTAGATAATCTAGATTTATTTATAAAAAAATCGTATCGAAAAAATCGAATCTTGTTAAAAAGTTTATATTATGGAAACTTTATTAATAAATACCAATTATCTCAATTGGAGTAAAATTATTCCTGACTCCAATTTAAAAATATTTTTATATCTATTATGATATAAAACAGACCTGAGCAATTTTATTGAATCATTTTTTTATTTGTCTGTTGCAGAATTACTCAATTACGATCTCAATTGGCTCAAGTGCTATTTTATTGCAGAGTATTTTTAGTAATCAATATTTATATTAATATATTTATATATATATATATACATATATATATATATATATATATATATATATATATATATTAAAAATATATAAAACAATCTGTATTATAAGAGTGCAAACAAAAAGATTAACTTTTTGGATAATAGAGATTAAACAAAATTCTTATCTATATAATTAGTTCAAGAGTAAATATACATAATTTTATTGTTCGCCAAAAGGTTTATCTTAATTCTTTGTGTATTTATTTATTTTAGTTAAACTAATTGTTTCAAAAATAGAACAAATCATAAAGTAGGAACCTTGTGGATTTTTGCTTTTATTTTAAACTAATGTATACTTGTTTGAAACGCTGACTTTGGAAAATACATGAAACAAATACAGTTAGTTACAGAATTTTTTGGATTTCTTCAAATAACTTGTAAATTTCGTTCCGGACATTTTAAATTATTTATATTAGTGAAAACTAGATAAAAAGTACTAAAATTTAGTATAAATTATTATATTCACTTGGATATTAAAATTTAGAATAAAACTACTCAAAACGCAGACTTGACGCAGAATATTTTACTTATTAGCAATATGTGATTTTAGGACATTTTTTTTAGATTTTTACAAATAATTTAAAAATTTTGTTCCGGGCGCTTTAATTTATTTACATTAATGAAAACTAGATAAAATTTACAAAAATTTAGTACAAATTGTTATATACACTTGGATATTGAAATTTTGAGTAAGACATAGTCGAACCACAGACTTGAATATTTTAAGCATATTCGGATTAAAATTTAAGACATTTAGACATCTAGATTTCGTCAAATAACTTGAAAATTTTATTTCGGGCTCTTTAATTTATTTAGTTTACCGAAAACTAGATAAAATTAACTAAAATTTAGAGTAATTTTTTATATATACTTGCATATCAAAATTTTTAATAATTCGTAGTTGAAACGCTGACTTGCTAAAAAGCTTGATACTTATTAAATTATTCAAATTAGTAAAAAAATACTACAATTAAGTCTGTGATTTTATTTAACAAAAACTTAAGTAACTAAAAAACATGTAAGATTTTTACATCAACAAATAGCTGAAAATATTTCTGTGTTTTGTTTTATTTCATGTTAAAAAATTTCCTGTTAGTAAATTATTTTGTAATGCTTCCAATTATTTTGTAATTTTTTAAATACGTACAAGTTTATTTTACAGTTTTTTTTAATTTAGGTAATAACTAGTTTGTTGACAATACTGGTTAAGAAACTGTTACTCAGGTTACACGGCTTTTCGACTAGTTTTATTAAAAATTTCAATATGCAAGTATATATAACAGTTTGCATTAAATTTTAGTAAAATTTATTAACTTCCCGTAGGGTAAGTTATTGTAATGGGCCGAAAATCGGAATTGAAAATTTTTACATTTCTCGACGTTTTGAAGGTTTCTGAACATTTTGGCATACCTCAGAAAAAATGGATGTGTGTGTGTGTGTGTGTGTGTGTATGTGTGTGTGTGTGTATGTATGTGTGGATACAAATTTCCAGTCACGTTTTAGGGCGCACGGATCAACCGATTTGAATGGTTCAAAAAACATTCGATTCCTATTGATAGGGAAAAGAGCTGATTAGTTTTTGGCAAAGGCAGGTCCAGCCGTTTCGGAGATACGGAGCAAAGAGTGCGGAAAATAGAAATCGAATTTTTGAGTGAACGGAGTATCCGATTTGAATGATCTAAAAAACATTCAATTAGTAATGATTGGGAGAAGTGTTTATTAGTTTTTGGCAAAGGCAGGCCCAGCCATTTCGAAGATACGGAGCTAAATATGTAAAAAATGGCAGTTTTTGAGAGAACTAAGCGTCCGATTTGAATGATTCAAAAAACTTTGTGCTTGTCTTAACAAAATAATTGATTTTGGAAAAAAAATTTTTGTTCCATTTTTTTTTTTTTTTTTTTAGTTTTTTGTTGATACAAATAATTTCAACTTTGCAATTCAGTTTATATAATTCTTATAAAGATTAGACAATGTTACAATATTTATAATAATCTATTTGAAAACATTCAGTATTCCTCGAACATTTCGTTACGGTACGGGAAGTTCCAGCAATTTGCCTTAAGGCACGATGCCACCCACCCCACTAGTTTAGTTTTCATTTATATAAACAAACTAATATGTGTGAAACAAAATTTGCAAGTTATTTGGCAAAATCTAAAAAAATGTCCTGTAACGAAATATTTAGCAAACTACTTAGGTCTGCGTTTCGACTCATTTTATTCCAAAAATCCATATGTATAGCAGTTTATACCTTATTTTAGTAAATTTTATCTAGTTTCTACTTATAAATGTATCTGGAACAAAATTTCCAAATTATTTAACAAAATGTAAAAAAATGTACTGACTATTTTTACAATCACGTTTATATACAAGTCGGCGTTTCGACTAGTTTTATTATTCAAGTTAATTAATAAATTTTTTATATTCAAGTACATATAACAGTTTATACTAAATTTTAGTAAATTTTATCTAGTTTCTGGTAATGTAAATAAAATAAAGTGTCTGGAACAAAATTTCCAGGTTATTTGACAAAATGTAAAAAAAATGTCTTGACTCTATTTTTTTGCAATCACCATTATATACAAGTCTGTGTTCCGACAATTTTTACTTAAAAATTTTATATGCAAGTACATATAGCAATTTATACTAAATCTTAGTAAATTTTATCTAGCTTCTAATGATGCAAATAAATTAAACAATCTTAAACAAAATTTTCATGCTATTTGAAAAATTGTGAAGCAATTTCAATCCATATATGTACTCTTTTAGTTTTTTATATATTTGATGTCTCAATTGTATATTATGTTTATCAAAATTATTATATATAATAACTTGAATATTAAGTATTTTTTTTTAATTTATTTTCAGGTGATAAGTTGCATTGTTCTCCTTTGGAAAGATCTTATAAAAGTGCAGTCCTTGCACATTATCCTGAAAGTGTATCATGGAATCCTTTCGATCCTCATGCAGTCTGCATGGTAATTATAAATAAATAAATATATATATATATATATATATATATATATATTAAATGTTATACGTGCAAAAAATCACGTCATGGTAATTTAATGCAAATAATATCTTAAATAGAGATCTGACACGTTTTTCTTTATTACATAAATTAATTAGATATTAATCAAATTTCATATATAAAATTTATTTATTAACACTTAAATTTAAATTGTCATTATTTTATTAGGTTATTTTCTTTATTATCGAGTTTAGAAGTTACAAAAGATATAATAGATAGAGGCATAAAATCAATTTGTAATTTTGAAGTACAGCATAAATAATAATTAATTATAGTATAGCAAAGTAATAATTAATTGATAAAGAAATAATATTTCTTTTATAATTAAATTATTTAAAAAAATTATATAATTTACAACATAATAATATAATTATAATATATAACTGTAGCAGAGAAGATAATTGAAAAAAATAAATAAATTAAAATTTTAAGCTGTATCTATCAATTGTTGCAGATTTTTCATTCATAATTGCAAATTATTTACAACTACATATTTTGGCCAATTATTATAAAACCTAAGCCTGACATAGTTTTATTTTAATCCTATTTAAATATTAAAAAAAATATATTTAAGTAGTTTATTTTATTATTGTTACAGATTATTATTTTACAATGTTGCAGATTGTTTTTCTATTTATAATTACAAAAAATAATTTTCTCAGCAATCTTCGACCAACTGTTAGACCTGACAATTTGCAAATTCCGCATATTGTTTATAAATTTGCAAATTCTTTAAAGATAAACTATGAAGATAATTAATTCGCAGTATGAAAACGATGGTCGGCTGACTTGACAAAAAACATAAATGCACACATGGGATAATATTCATTCATAATTATAATAATCATATGAATATATATATATATATATATATATATATATATAAAATATATATATATATATATATATATATATATGTTTAATTTGAGTTTAATATTCGGGCGTAACATCAATAAAAATAGTATGAGTTTTTTTAAAAAATTTTATTTATTTAAAATCCATACGTTTCGGCTAGCATCTTAGCCATCATTCAGTGGTAATCAAGTTAACTATAAAAATTGAAACTAAATAAATTATATGAAAGGAAATTTCATGAAAAAACAATAATAATAATAATATAATATTATTATTATTGTTTTTCCATGAAATTTCCTTTCATATAATTTATTTAGTTTCAATTTTTATAGTTAACTTGATTACCACTGAATGATGGCTAAGATGCTAGCCGAAACGTATGGATTTTAAATAAATAAAATTTTTTAAAAAAACTCATACTATTTTTATTGATGTTACGCCCGAATATTAAACTCAAATTAAACATATATATCAACATCAAATTCAAGACTATTCAAAAATATATATATATATATATATATATATATATATATATGAAGAAATCGTTGTGGTGATATGAGTGTATTTTCTTTCAAATGCGTGACTGTCAAAATTAATTGAAAAATGATGTATTATTTTGACTATAATTTGTGGTCTCTAATATTGCCTATAACCTAAGTTCGATATTAAAACACACAGTGAGCCAAAAAAAAATCAAAATCGGTACAGTAGTTTAGGACTCTTTATAGGTCAAACATCCTGACGCTAAATACTTACTTTTGTATTTAAATAGATATGTATTTTTGATACATATGGAATTTTTTTTCCAGCTTTCTCTTCCTCTGGGTCTCCAATTCAAAACCCAGAAAAACTGTTTGGAACCAAGGTTCCATGGGTTCCTGATGACCAAGGAAGATGGAAAGAGGTGCTATGGATTTTCTTTGGTTTTCTACGAAGAAGTACGATATAGGAACATTTGTAATGCCATGCACACCCTACAGGTAATAGATAATTCTATATTTATTCACCAAATCACCCACAACTATCAAACTATTTGTTCAAACTAAATTATGTTTTTGGCAAAATTATTTAAAATTAAATAATACACAGCATTGTCATATGATAAAATACTCTAGAACTACTCGGTATACTTGTAAATCGCATTTGAAAATGAAGATTTTTTTGACTTTATTCATAGCAACAGGTCGACTGCTTACTGGTGCAGAAGTACATTCACTAAATTATCTATAATTATTAAATTATTTGTCGAAACTAAATAATGTTTTTGGCAAAATTGTTTAAAATTAAATGATTCACAACATTGTCATATAATAAAAGACTCTAGAACGACTTGTAGTACATATAAATCCTACTTAAAAATGAAAATTGTTTTGACTCTGGTGACCAGACCAGTCATCGTAACGGGTCACGACTTCTTACTCGTGCAGAAGTGCATTTAATCACTAAATCATTTATAATTATTAAACTATTTGTCGAAACTAAATATTGTTTTTGGCAAAATTGTTTAAAATTAAATAATACACAACATTGTCATATAATAAAAGACCCTAGAACGACTTGTAGTACTTGTAAATTGCATTTGAAAATGAAGAATTTTTTGGACTCTGTTTTTAGCGACGCATCGACTTCCAACCCGTGCAGAAGTACATTTAATCAGTAAATCATTTATAATTATTAAACTATTTGTCGAAACTAAATAATGTTTTTGGCAAAATTGTTTAAAATTAAATTATACACAACATTGTCATATAATATAAGACTGTAGAACGACTTGTGTTACTTGTTAATCGCACTTAAAAATGAAGTATTTTTTTGACTCTGTTTAGAGTAACGGGTCGACTTCTTGCTCGTGCAGAAGTATAAATGTACTTCTGCACGAGCAAGAAGTCGACATCAGTAAATAATTTATAATTATTAAACTATTTGTCGAAACAAAATAATGTTATTGGCAATATTGTTTAAAATTAAATAATACACAACATTGTCATATGATAAAAGACTCTAGAACGACTCGGTATACTTGTAAATCGTATTTGAAAATAAAGTTTTTTTTGACTCTGGTCTTAGCAACGGGTCGACTTCTTACTCGTGCAGAAGTACATATAATCACTAAATAATTTATAATTATTAAACTATTTGTCTAAACTAAATAATGTTTTTGGCAAAATTGTTTAAAATTGAATAATACACAATATTGTCATATAATAAAAGACTCTAGAACGGCTCGGTATACTTGTAAATCGCGTTTGAAAATGAAGAATTTTTTTGACTCTGTTCTTATAGCGACGCATCGACTTCTTACTCGTGCAGAAGTACATTTAATTACTAAATCATTTATAATTATTAAATTATTTGTCGAAACTAAATAATGTTTTTGGCAAAATTGTTTAAAATTAAATAATTTACAAAATTGTCATATGATACAAGACTCTAGAACGACTTGTATTACTTGTAAAACGCACTTAAAATGAAGAATTTTTTTGACTCTGGTCAGAGTAACGGTTCGACTTCTTACTCGTGCAGTAGTACATTTAATTACTAAATCATTTATAATTATTAAACCATTTGTCGAAACTAAATAATGTTTTTGGCAAATTTCTTTAAAATTAAATAATTCAGAACATTATCATATAATTGAAATCTCTAGAACAACTAGGTGTACTTATAATCGCAAAAGAAAAGTGACTAATACATTTGATGTTACTAAATTTACTAAATAATTTATAACTTCCAAATTGTTTTGCGGAATGTAAATAAAATTTATTTATTTCTTTATATAAAATGTCGCTTACACCTAGTTCATTTTTTCTTTTTCAGGCGATGCATCTAACCGAATTATCCAGTGGCCAAGGTATAGTGCGCCCTAAAGGGCCCCACTCAAGATCACTGCCCCGTCATTTGAAATTGATGTCACCACACTCCGGCTCTGCCTTGACTTACTATGATGTTGCCAAAGATAAATTATTCGTTTCCAAAAGCATTGTGATACTTACCCAAGAATGCTACTCTTATGTAGCTGAAATATTCCTCACCAACTTGTACAAGTACGTAGACACTAGGTTTTATACAAAAACCGACATTTCAGAAAACCGGTTTTCGAATTTTAATTATGCTAAAAAAAACGGTTTTATCCGGTTTTCGAATTTTATATAAAAAATAAATTTTTGCTCGAATATTCTGTAATTTATCCGCAAATTTAGTGTGATTTAGAGCAGTATTTGACTGAATTTATTTATTGTTCAATTTTATGGATAGTAAACAAAATTATTTTAAGTTTAATCAGTAGAACTAAGAAATAAGAGGTTATCTTGATTGAATAACTTTGAAAATAATTATTCGTTATTCATGCATCTTTTTCACATATAAGAATGAAAATATTTTTATGATAGTGAAAGTAAAGTTTTCGAATAAATAAAAATAATACATTTTTAAATAAAAAACATTCATTAAATTTAAAAAAAAATTAGATACATGTTGATACATACTTGTTAATATCAATTTTAGTTTTAAAAACAATTAAGTTAAACTCAGGTACTGCTTGTTCCGAGCAATTTTAATTACTTAATTTTAAAGATTCTAATTGTATTTTTTTGTTTAATAAAATATGATGTCAAAAAACTGAGAACGTCTATCGAATTGTTACTGAAATAGAAAATACGCTCATACTTGCGGCTAAATTATGCTTAATTGTTTTTAAAGCCTGATATAATAATTCCAAGCTTTTTGTTCTTTTATTTGTGGCTTCTAGGGTTTAAAACTCTTTTTTTAAGTTTGAGTACTTCTTCTTCAAGAAGAAGTCACACTGATTTAAATTAAAATATACTCTGGTATAAAAATCTAAATTAATATATACAAAACCTTTCTGGGAACGATTGCAGATTGATAAGATATCATATGTTATTGAACCGATATGATTTCAAGAATCAAAACGCTTTCATATATCTTTTATATTTGGCTATATTTGTCATTTTCCATTTATACAGTGAAAACCGCTATAACCGCTAAACTTTATTCACTAAAACCCGGTTTTCGAATTCCATAATTTTCGCCAAAAAATCGGTTTTTAAAACCGGTTTTTGAAAACCGATAAACCCTAGTAGACATCGACAAACACTTCCATTGGAGCAAAAATAAATTTTAATATTTTTTTAGATCTTTACCACGTCAACCTGGTCCAGGTCTGTCTCCAGAGGCGTACATATATAATTTACTCTATGATGCAGCACCACCACATCCTGGAAAATCCGTAAGACTTTTTCTACCGCCTCCAAATCCATCAGGAGCACCTTTGGCTGCTGTTATGCAGAAACCTGGTTTAAACGAGTTACCACCTTTGCATTATCCTTTAAGGACTTTGTTTAAGTTGCTGGGGGTTGAAAATGTTGTTCAGCTGTTCACGTGTTTGTTGCTCGAGAACCAAGTTCTCTTAAGATCCAGTGGTAAGGGATAATTGACATATCGATGCTTTTCTGACGCAACCTCGTATCTCAGAAACTACTACTTTTCAGGAGAGACAAAAAACGTTTTATACCGAATTTTTAAACTGCTGTTAACAATTTTTTTTATAGATTTTAAAAATATTCAACCTTGTGACAATTATTTGAGACAAGTATGATATTACAAACAATTAATCATTATTTTTTCTTCAATTCTTTGAGATACGTGTTTGTCGCACGGAAAAAAATGTAACACACGTGGTTGCGTCATGCTGTTTTCAAATAAGAGTACATGAATAACTTTTTTCAATTGTTTTATTTTGAGAATCGATCAACTTTTTAAATAATCCTTAATAAAAAACAAACATTATTAAACTTGTGGTATATGTTAGTTTATAATTACGACAATTTAGTATCTGGCCATAGTTTAGGTATTTCAATATCTAGGATTTTTAGCTCTTTCATGGATTTATAATTTACTATTTTGTGATTATCATTTTTATTGTTACTTTTATTCTTTTTCGTTCTTATTTCTTTATTTAATGATTTTTTATTTGCGGATGACACGTTATCTAACTCTAAAAAATACAAAATTTAATTTCATGTGAGAATTTATTGTCGGTAAGAATTGATAATAATTGTTTAATTTTTGTTGCTTACTGTGATATTTGTTCTCAACATAATAAAAATATAACTGGTGGTGCATGGCATCGTGCCTTTAAGCAAATTGGTGGAACTTTCCATTCCGTAATTAAATAGAATCGAGGAATAATAAATGATTTCAAATAGATTATTATAAATACTGTAACTTTTGTTATTCGTATTTGAATGACAAAATATAAGAATAAATTGGACAACGACGTTTATGTATGTTTACATAAAAAGTAAGTAAAAGTAAAAAAAGAACATATCTCATATTTCTAAGAATTATATAAACTAATTTGCAAATTTAAATTTATTTATTTGAAGTATATAAGAGAATTTTAGAATTTTAGCTAGCATTAAAATTATTCGAATCATTTTTCATATTTAAACAAAGAAATAATTGTAAATTAAAAAAAATGGACAAGAAAAAATTCTGCTTTCCTAAACTAATCGATTCTTTATACTGCAAAATGTTTTTTGAATCATTCGAATCGGAAGCTTTGAAACGACTGGGCCTGTCTTTTCCAGAAACTAATCACCACGCCATCAATACAAATTGAATGTTTTTAAATAATTCAAATCGGATGCTCTGTTTTCTCAATAGGAAACGATTGTTTTTTGAACGTTTCAAATCGGTTGATCTGTGCTCCCGAAAACGTGGACAGAAAATTATATCCACACACACACACGCACACAAACACATACATCTATTTTATTAAGGTATGTCAAGATATTCAGAAACCTCTGAAACGTTAAATATGCAAAAAGTTTCATTTTCAATTTTCGGAAAATTACTATAACTTGCGGTAAGTAAATAATAAATATATTTATTAATTATCGTTCATTAAGTTTTAATAACAATTAACTTAATTGAATAATAATTTTTATTAGAAGGATTGAACTAAACAACATTGCTGACAGCGAAACTTGTTTATATACGCCACCATGTATTCTGAGATACGAGGTTGCGCTTGGCACATTTTTCTGAATTGAGATATGTGATTGTATTTTCCTCAATAAAAAACGTTCGGTTGATTTTTTTTTACAAAACTTCACAGATCTATGCGTCTATATTTAGTGATTGATTTTCCGATTAAAACTCAAAATCGTCAAAATCGAGTTACGAGGTTGCGTCAGAAAAGCATCGATATGTGTTGGTGATTTGGTTTGGTATTTATGTGTGTTTTAGATTGTCAACGTCTGATGGTAGTCGCAGAATGCATCACAGGTTTACTATTTCCATTCGCCTGGCCTCATGTTTACGTACCTGTTTTACCTGCCTCGTTACATCACTTTCTGGACGCACCTGTACCATTTGTAATGGGTAAGTTGATAAAACAACCAAAATACTAGTTGGTATTTGTATTTTGCCTTGAGGCAAGTTACATGAACTTCCCGATATGTGTAAATAATCGACTTAATCAATAAAATAGAAATTAATTTATGAGTGATTAAAAGTATTCCGAGAGGATTTATTACAAATAATTGAAAACGAACGAACACGTTAACTCGGAATTTTTTTTAGAAGTAAATTTTCAAAGATCAACAATTTTTATATTTGAACAAGTTTCCGCAGGACTTTAATGGTTTAGTATGTTCATTAGGACCAAGTACTCTATCGTTACACCAAGTAAATCGTCTAATTTTAATTTTAACAAACGTCAAAACAACTACTCATTTTCTCAAACTTTGATGAATTTTTAGAATTAAACTACTTGTCGTAAGGCCGTAATATTTCAGTAAGTTCTATAAGACCATGATATATATCGCTAGAAAAAGTTTCATAAAAATCGGCTTAAATTTTTTATTCAACAGTTAATTACAAGAAAACGGCTCGGTAGATTTTTACCTAAAACTAATCAGTATCATTCCCAACTAATATCTTTCGAACAGTTTTTGATTTTTTAAAATCGATTCGGTAGTTTGAACTTAAATGTGGACGAAAAGTTTAAAACTTTTTTTCAAATTACAAAGAAACGGCTGGGCTGATCGTTTCACAAAACTGACAAACGATAGTCCTCATTGAAATACATCAAATGGCTTTTAAATTTCTGAAATCGGTTCAGGCGTTTCTGAGAAAACGTCGATGAAAGGTCTAATTTTGGCAAATGCCAAAAAAACGATACCAATTTTTGCAAACTTTGACGAATGTTTAAAGTTAAACCAATTGTCGTAGGGCCGTAATATTTTAGTATGATCTAGAAGACTATGGTATCTACCGTCAAAAAAATAATCATAAAAATCTTCGAAAAAAATTTTTTAAAAACTTTATTACGAGAAAACGGCCCGGCCGATCTTTACCAAAAACTAATCAGCACGATTCCCAATCAATATCTTTCGAACGGTTTTTGAATTTTCGAAATCGATTTAGAATTGCGGGTTAAAACGTAGACGAAAAATTTTTCACTTTTCTGCGATTTATAAAGAAACGGCTTGGTCGATCGTCGCACAAAACTAACAAACAATAGTCCTCGTCGAGATACATAGAATTGCTTTTAAATTTTTGAAATCGGCCCAGCCGCTTTCGAGAAAACGTCGATTTACGGCAACAAATCTGTTCACACACACACACACACACACACATACTTTTTCCAAATTTGGTCTCATTCGATTCAGAATGGCTTGAAACGTCGAGAAAACATAAAATTAGCGAGTCGGATTTATTGATGAAAACATAAACTTCTCCTTCGGGAAGTTAACTATCACAATTTTTACTATGTCTTTTCCCCCAGGTTTGCATGCAGAAGCTGATTCTATACTGAAAATTGGTTCAGAAGCTGCCTTGTGTTTCGTAGATATAGACAAACCTTTACTCCAACTTCCTGAAGAAATTCCAGTGTTTCCACACAGAAACGCGTTTATCCAGGAACTCCAAGCTGTCTTGGATAAACACCAGGTTGTTTGCCATCAGGATGAGGTTGTCACTAATCAGCAAACTGTTGTTCAGAACCAGTTTGCTGGTGGTAATGCTAAAGTTGATGTTATGACTGCCAGTTGTACTTTACCGTCAGGTGGGAATAAATTTCGATTTTGGTTGGTTGTGGTTTATATTAAAAAATTTTGTTGGTTCAGGTATGCATCTAAGGCGTAAACATTCTCTGCACGATGTCTTGGATTGGGACAGACCCAATTCACCAGATGTCGAGAACCAGAAACCTCCAAAACATGATGGGAAATTTGGACCGAGGTCTGAAGCTTTGCAGAGGGTTAGACGAACAGGTAAGAGAACTGAAATTGCATTTGGAAAACAGGTATCACTCACTTATTTTTTCAGGTGATGTAGATTGTGCAGTTCTTCCGTCATCACCCAAAGGACCTCTACCACCGATGGAACAATATTGTGAAGACATGAGATTAAACAATGCTATACGTGAAATATTTTTGAACAGATTTGTACAAATGTTTGCAGCTTACGAGCACTTTGTGATATATCCTCAAAATACTGAGGTAAGGATAATAGACTCACTTTTTAACTTCCCGTAGGGTGAGAAAATGATAATTTTTGCATTTTTTGGCGTTTTGAAGGTTTCTGAACATTTTGGCATACCTCAGAAAAAATGGATGTGTGTGTGTGTGTGTATGTGTGTGTGTGTGTGTATGTATGTATGGATACAAATTTCCAGTCACGTTTCCGGGCGAACGGATCAACCGATTTGAATGGTTCAAAAAATATTAGATCCCTATTGATAGGGAGATGTGCTGATTAGTTTTTGGCAAAGGCAGGTCCAGCCGTTACGGAGATAAAGAGCAAAGAGTGCAGAAAATACAAATCGAGTTTTTGAGAGAACGGATCATCCGATTTGTATGATCTAAAAAACATTCAATTTGTAATGTTTGGGAGAAGAGGTGATTAATTTTTGGCAAAGACAGGTCCCGCCATTTCGGAGATACCGAGCTAAATGTGCAAAAAATGGCAGTTTTTGAGTGAACTAAGCGTCCGATTTGAATGATCTAAAAAACTTTCTGCTTGTATTGACAAAACAATTGCTTTTGAGGATAAAAAATTATTACATCTTTTTTTTTTATTTTACATAAAATATTTTTGTAATTTTGGATTAAAAATTCAAAAAATTGCCCAGGCTAAGCACAGTCTAAGCGCCACTTTGGTACACATGTTTACCCAAGTGCGTTTAGACTGTTTATGTACTGGAGCACTTTTCCAATTTTGTGAAAAGACAACTATTGAAAAATGTGAAAATATCGCCAAGCTAAGCACAGTATAAGTGAAAATGTCGCACAGAATTATTTGCAAATGCGTTTAGATTGTGACTATACGGCAGCACTTTTTCAATTTTGTTTAAATTATGCAACTATTTTTTTTTTAAATTGAATTCGAAATGAAATGACGATTGTTAATGTTCTGGAGACAAATTAATTTATTTATAATTTACATTTGATTTGCTCGGATATAACAGGATAGCAAAAATAATTAGAGTCACAGTATTTGTAATAATATATTTGAAAACGTTTAAAATTTCTCGTATATTTTATTACGGTACGGAAAGTTCCAGCAATTTGCCTTAAGGCACGATGCCATACACCAGTTATACTTGCAATTATTTACTTAATTATTTGTAGGAACAAGGATCTCCAAACTCATCCCTGCACAGTTTCGACAAAGCGTCATTCTTATCCGACCAGCCTTTACTACACAGACAATTCTTATCGAGGTTTTTGGAAAGTCAAATGTTTGCTTCGCTTATCGATCACAAAGCCCAACCTTCATCAGATCACCCACATCCTAGTCTGGGAGTCTTCGAACACAGACTGAACCTCTTAAAGTATGTCTACACATACACAACTAAATTATTCTGGTACCAAATACCTACAACATATGTCTTTTTCCTCTAGGAAACGTTACGGTGGAGACAGTTTGTCCAGGAGTCCCAATTACGAGCCTTGTACTTGTTCAAGGGAGTCCCAAAGGGCTCTCGATAGAAGGTTGGCAAGTGCTGATTTTGAGGCACCACCTCCGAGGGAATTGCTACCAAATAGACCAGCTTATTTCAGGTCTTTTCCTTTGCTGGACAAAAGTGTACTCAACCAGGACAGGCCTAGGTAAACAGGATAAGTTTTTATATGTTGTGGATTTTTTTATTGAATAGTTTCAACCAAGGGGATAAAATAATAGATTTTAGTTAGTTTTTTAATATTGAACACCCTTTTTTATTGCATTTTTAACTTCTGGTTGAAATTATCTTTTATCAGTCCACACATATGTCAGTATTGATTTTTAGAATTAATAAATGTTGTGTTATCGTCTACTAGGGAATGCAATACCAATAGAAAATTTCAATAACGGTAATTTTTCATTTTAAAACCGGAATACCGGTAAATTACCGTAAAACGTAAACAAAATTGAAAGTTACTAGTACAAATATAAAAAAATGTATATACAACTACAACTATATTCAACTAAACAATAAAATAAAATAATAAATTTATTTTTTTATATAATAATTTAACAAAAGTATATGCAATTTAATTAATTCATTATCACCATCGAGTATATTGAGTACTTTTCACCAAAAACAAACGTATGAGTGAGAAAGACCAAAAACTCATAAAGATCATATTACATTATTATAATAAACTGTATTGTCTGTATCCAATGTGTTAAGTAAGCATAATCTTCAATATTTTAAAAAAATAATTTGTCTACACTAATTTAAGATTAGATTCTTTGTCGAGATAAATAACAAGTTACTATAATTGTTGAGTATTGTTATTTAAGACAATGTGATGCTTCTATAGTATTTTCAAACTTCGAAACGTTTTCGAAAAATAATATTTTATAATTGTAATAAGAAGCAAAATTATTTAGTAATTATCATAATTATTATGTATAAAGTTAGAAAAAAATAAAGATTACGCAGTATGATATAAAATATTTTGGCGCAAATATCACTTAAAAAATCGTTACATTTTTACAAAAGATGAAACAAACTGAATTATCTATCAGTCCTATTCTATTTATTGTAACACGATATGAATCCCTTTGGAAAGCAATAAATATTCAGATTAATGACGAGTTGAGATAATATTTGACATTTGTTTATCTTATAGAATCACTTGAAGATATAGCTGTTTATGCGATTATGGAATTTAAAGATAAATTTGTTCCGAGAAATTTAAACATTAGGGTATTATGTATCAAATAGCGCTAATGTAAAATTACCGAAAATACCGGTATTTTTGGAATAATACCGGGAAAAATCGGGCGGTTTACCGGTAATTCGGCATACCGGTATACCGGTATTGCATTCCCTATCGTCTACTATATGTTGTACATGAATAATTAAATTAATAATTTGATATTAATTAAAAACAAATTTAATTTAATTGTCATGTCTTTTGTATTGGCTTTATTGTATCATTTTGGCTTTTGTACTCGTATAATTGTTGTCTTGTCTTGCCAACAAAAATTATATAATATATAACAGATGCTAATAATAATTTAAAATATTTAATATAAAAGGAATGAAAATTATTATATCTATTGTTAGATGTTAGTAGAAATTTATGCAGTATTTAAATAGAAGAAATTGAATTTCGCATTATTGACAGTATTGAAAATACAATAAGTATTATAACTATCAAGGAAATTAGAGATGAAATTAGCAAAAATAAAGTATTCGGTTTGCATCATTCCAAATAGAATTATCCTTAGGTGGTGTGTACGATGTCACAAAAATTTTATTTAGGTAGTACAAAAAAATTAATAGTATTCTTTAATTATATACTTCTCATAATTAGTGCAATTGTAGATTAAAAAAAGTGTTATGATAATATAAAACATAATATCTTCTCTTAAGGAAATTTACTCGAGTTTTAGAAAATTAGCAAATACTCTTCTCTCTACTAAAATATAATAAATGACCAGTTTATTTTGTTACTAAGTAATAAAGTATTTTTTATATTTATTTTTATACGTTTTATATGTTTTTATTAATTACTGATTTTTTTATAAAAGACTTTTAGATGGTGCTGAAAATAAAAAAAATACTAATGTAAAATTTAGCATGATGACATATAATAATATTTATATTGCAAATAAATTATTATAATTAATAAATAAATAATTATTATATGTTATGCTCAATGTGCAATTTTGTATTAATATATTTTAAATATTTATATTTTATGCTTGATTGTTAATTAATCGAATAGTTTGTTATAAATAAATTTATGTGCTGAATTGAATTAAAAAGGGTTTTAATTATCACCTTTTCACAACACTCTATCTTTGCATCTTTCATATTTTTGTTAATTTCTTTTTCTAAAAATACTAACAAGTAATGAAAATGTAGAATATTAAAATCCTTTTTAAATCATTGGTTAACAATTTAATTATTTTATTTTATAACACAAAAAATCAGATACATAATATTGGTGTAAAATTATGTCAATGCATGTTTGATATTGTAATTTTATATTTTTTATCATGCAAATTTATTTGATTTTTTAATTCATAACAACCACAATTTTTTTGGAGGATATTTTAAACGAAATTTATTAGTTTACATACACATATACAAAAAATGTTATACAATAGTCAATTTATTTCAATTATTTTGTTTGAATAGTTCAAAATTTATAAAACTATTAATTTTAATATTCGTTATCGTATACTAAGTTGTAGTAGGTATTTTTTATCACATTTTTTTAATTTTAAATATTTTTTCTCGTACATCATTAATTTTAATCAAATAGTTCAAGATCTATAAGCGATATATAATTAAATGCATTAGATTTATTTTCCATTTTCGATTGCGATTTTTAAGTATGCCGAGTTGCTGTAGGGTGTTAAGATGCTAGTAAATATTGTAAATAAATATAAAACTAAATATTTCATTCTTATAAAAAAAACCGTTTAAAAGTTACAAGAGATATAATAAATAAATGCACTTCCAATAGAAGACGTCAATACGTAAGCAGGGTTCTCAGATACATATATCTGTTTCAAACCCAATTTTAAGGTATACCAAGTTGTTGTATGGCTTTATGGTGTTAGTAAATATTATAGATAATTCAATTTTGTACAAATTTACCAAATATTTTATTTACTTAAAACAAACCGTTTAAAAGTTACAAGAGATATAGTAAATAAATGCACTTCCACTAAGAGACGTCAATACGTAAGTAGGGCTCTCAGATACATATATCTGTTTCAAACGCGATTTTAAAGTATACCGAGTAGATGTATGGCTTTATGATGTTAGTAAATATTGCAGATAATTTAATTTTGTACGAGTTTTTCAAATATTTTATGCATTTAAAACAAACCGTTTAAAAGTTACAAGAGATTTAATAAACAAGTGCACTTCTAAAAATAAGTCACATAATGATCAGTTGCAATTAGTATCGGAGCTAAAGTAAAAATTTATTATACCGAGATGTTGTATTCAAAATGTATTTATTATTTATCAATTTATTTATATATACAAAATATTTATATTATATATACAAAAAATTTATTTTTTGACAGGAATTTCAATAGTCTCAGAAGGATCAAACAAAGTCACAAAAATCAGGGAATAAGGGAACCCCCGGACGGAAACGAGGACAGTGGTAGTAAATTGTCACTTCCACCTAGCGAATTAAATCCTGCAATCCTTGCTCAGGCTAATTGGACATTTGTCGAAAAACTACTAAAGGTAATAAAAAAAATATAGAAAACCTGATAAATCCTTCCTTTTTTCAGTTCTTGTAATTTTTTTAAGATCTTGCAGAAGACACTCTTAACCATCATACTAAGTAGTCATTCCTTAGAGTTCATGTCTGTGATCCATACTTGAAATTTAGCATTTTATTATAATATTTATTACTCAACATTTTTATAATATTTTCTTATATTTATTATATGCTTTATATATTTATGTACATTTAGTTTTATTTTTTATTGATTAAAAATTGTAAGTAAATCGGTTCAGTGGAAGTTGAGAGATCGTGAACATATCGAAAAAAACAGTTTGGAGAAAAACGCGTTTTAAGACTTTTATTTTTGAAAAAATGTTATGTTGGCTTCATGGATTTCTGGTTCTGTTTTTTATCATTATCAATTTCTGGTTTTTGTCCTTTAGGATTGTAAAAGTAGGACGAAAAGGATGCTCTTAGAGAAATTAGGACCAGAAGCAGGAACTTTGGGTCTAAGCAATGGAGGTCTCGGAGGCGTCGAAGAAAGCACCCTTGTTTCATCCCTTTGTGACCTTCTGGAAAGGATTTGGTCACACGGATTGCAGGTAAATAATTTTGTAGTAATTCAAGGTAAAAAATCACAATTTTTAACTAATTTTGTGTATATTTATTTTAGGATAAAAAGGGCAAATCTGCCCTCTGGGTGCACCTTACAAGTTATCAAGAATTGCAAAAGGGTGATGATCTCAAATCTACTGACCCGAATTTTTTAACACCTGGTAAGTGGTAGATTTAATTTTAAACTAATAAGATTTGATAACAAATTATTGTAAAAATTTAGTATGTTATTTTAATATTATAATATTTCACGCTGCTTAAATAGGATTGTCTTGGTGTGTTTTGAAAAAGCGATTGGATTGTAAGTATTAGATATAATAATTAGATTATAATTAACGAAAATGAAAATTTTTGCATTTTTTCACGTTTTGAAGGTTTCTGAACATATTGGCATACCTGGAAAAAAAAAATGGACGTGTGTGTGTATGTGTGTTTTGTGTGTCCGCATTTTTTCGTCCACGTTTTCGGGCGCACGGATCAACCGATTTGAATGGTTTAAAAAACATTCGATCCCTATTGATAGAGAGATGTGCTGATTAGTTTTTGGCAAAGGTAGGTCCAGCCGTTACGGAGATACCGAGCATAGAGTGCCGAAAATAGAAATTGAGTTCTTGAGAGAACGGAGCATCCGACTTGAATGGTTCAAAAAAACATTCAATTTGTAATGATTGGGAGAAGTGGTGATTAGATTTTGCCAAAGACAGGTCCAGCCGTTTCGGAGATACCGAGCAAAATGTGCAAAAGATGCCAGTTTTTGAGAGAGCTAAGCATCCGATTTGAATTATTCAAAAAATTTCTGCTTGTATTGACAAAACAATTGCTTTTGAGGATAAAAAATTGTAACATCTTCTTTTATTTTCCATAAAATATTTTCGTAATTTTTTATTAAAAATTCAAAAAATTACCCAGGGTAAGCACAGTCTAAGCGCCACTCTGGTACAAATGTTTACGTAAGTGCGTTTAGACTGTTAATGTACTGGAGCACTTTTCCAATTTTGTGAAAGAAATTTTGGAAAAGAAAACTATTGAAAAATGTGAAAATGCCGCCAAGCTAAGCACAGTATAAGTGAAAATGTCGCACACAATTTTGTGCAAATTATTAGGCGACTATTTTTTTAAAAAAATTGAATTCGAAATGAAATGACGATTGTTAATGTTCTGGAGATAAATTGATTTATGATTTACATTTATTGTTTTACAAATTATTTAACATTATTTACAAAATAATGAAAGTTACAGTATTTGTAATAATATATTTGAAAACGTTTAAAACTGCTCGAATATTTCATTGCGGTACGGGAAATTCCAGCAATTTGCCTTAAGGCACGATGCCATACACCACAAGTTTTAAATTTTATTGGCTCACTGTGTATTTAAAGACTTACATCAGAAAAAATGAAAAAAAATATTTATTTATTAATAAATTTCAGATTTATCCACGATGACCATCGAAGACGCCTCGACGAGTACAAAAGACAGTCCCAGGGACGAAACCAAAAATTTAACAGAAAAACAACTAAAACCTTTACCAGAATCTCTAATATTCGATATAAGGTACATAATATAATAACAAACGAAAATATATTATAAAAATATTATAAATATTTTATTTTTAGGAATATCCAAGCAATGACAGACATAAAGACCCACATAGGTTACGCAAGAGCATGGGTCAGATTATCCTTAGAAAAAAAGTTGTTGTCGAGACATTTAAGGACTCTGTTATCCCAAGGATTGCTCCTAAAAACTCTGTACAGACGTTGTGCTTTTTTGAGATGCGAAGACGAACGGGAACAATTTTTGTACCACTTGCTAACACTGAACGCCGTGGATTATTTTTGTTTTACCAATACGTACCCCACAACGAGTAAGTAGAAAGGATATATGGATATGAAATTAAGCTTTGATCAAATCTATTAAAGGACATATCTGCATTAAGTTATCCTTTGATTCAATTTAATTTTGTTTGTTCCAGCTTTACCCTATCGTGTGATAATTTTTCCTTCGAGGAAGTCTAGTGCAGCGAGCAGCACCACTGCCAATTGTTACATCGTGATCTCGGGGACAATTTCTGAAACCCAACACATCCCCATACCTAAAGGCTCTCTAGAATTCGTATTTAATGTAAGAGGAAACAAATCATATACACATTATTACATGTTTTTTTTATATATGAATGATATCGATTTATTATTTTTTTTAGCATAAAAATCTGGGAATTTTGACGACTTTGAGGATAGGTCATGATAGCACAGGTTTATCGGCCAATTGGAAAGTTGAGAATGTTCTTGTACGAAACGAAGTTACTGGACATTCTTATAAGTAAGTTGGGATAAAATACTAAATACTAGGTGTATGTGGCATTTTGCCTTAAAAGGGAGTCCATTAATCTCGTGAGGCTTTTAGGGGGACGGTGGGTTTGACATAAAATGATGTAAAATCGCGTGGGAAAAGGAAGATATCACGTGTATTTATTTTTTGCCTAAATTTTCAAAAATTTTACGATTTTTTCTTAAATTCGAAAAATTTGTTTCAAAAATTTTACGTAACTAAAAATACACGTGATGTTTGTTGAGGGAGGGGGGTAATTTTAAATATCATGACCTAGGGGTCAAAAAATCCTTAAAAAATCGGTCTTGCATTAACCTCTCATAATTTATTTAAAAAACGTGTTTTTTACAACTTTTTTTGATATTTTTTAATTTAAAAAAATAGTAGAAATCTTAATTTGGGGATGAGCGTAGTTTATACTAAAAAGAAGTCTATAAAGAAGAGTTTGTGGAAATTTCAAGTAAATCGGTTCAGTAGAAGTTGAGAAATCGTTTAAACGCGTTTAGAGATTGTTATTGTGGAAAATTTACTATGTCGCCGACATTAATTTAATTTTTTTACATAGATAGATTCTTGATCAGTTAAATTTTGGAAATATAAAAAAATCGATTTCTTAAAAATTCTAGACCAGAATATCCCCTTAAATAAGAATTGAAATTTAGCTAATTTAATTCCAATTTGATTCTAATACAATTTAGAGTTATTAATAATTTTTATTAATTGTCTAAATATATTTTTTATATCTGTGTCACCTTTTGAAACAGTTTATTTAACTTCTCTAATTATGTACAAATATTCTAAGATTTTGCTCTAACTTCTAACTTCATTCAAAGAAGACTTGATTCCTACTTTATTCTAATTATAAGTTTATTCTAACGATATTAAAACTTTATTCCGACTGGATTAACTAAAATATCACTAACAATCACTAATTCTAATCGGATTTTCACAACATTCTTAAATTATAACTTAAATCTTAATAAAACATTACTAAAAATATTGTCTCTGTAACTTAAATTCGACTTGTTTCTTATTAGATTTATAATTCAATCTGACTGGATTCTAACTTAACTTTTACTGAAATTTTTAGGAAGATTCTAACTGAAATGTTACTAGATTCTCAGTAGAATCTTATCAGATTCTACTAGATTTTCTTGAAGTGTAATCGGATTCTAACAATAATTTAGAATTTTATTCTAGAGATTATTGAGACTTCCTCGGATTCTAAATATATGCTTGTCAGAATCTAACAAAATTTTTGCTGAAATCTAATTGAATTCTTCGAATCTGATCGATTTTAACCAAAATCTCGCCGGATTCTTATTGGAATGTGATTGGGTTCTAACTGATTTAATTGCAAAAAATTGAAATCTTACTAAAATGAAATTGGGTTCTAAAAAGCAGCAATGTTAGTGTTACTACTTTCGAATTTAATTATATTATGTTTGGACAAAAAATCGTGAATGATCACGTCGAGGGAGAAAGATTCTAGTAAGATATCACGTGCATTTATTTTTTACCTGAATTTAAAAAAAAATCCAAAAATTTTCAAAAATATTTAAAAAAAAAATACTATTTTGATATTTTGTGGCAGTAGGAGGAGGGGTAATCTTAAATATCACCAAGTATAATCAAGGGGGAAGAAGGGATCCAAAAATTCTTAAAAAATGATCACGTGATCGATGGACGCCTCATGATACAAATCAGGCGAACGAAAATTGCTGAATTATATAAATTAGCGAAAACTTGATTTAACCTTGATTCTAACTTGATTATAACTGAAATCTTACTAAAAAAATTAACGTTATATCTTGTACTAAATTCTTTTTTTTTACTAGATTCCGACTTGACTCTAATTGGATTCTGACTTGACTGCACCTAAAATATTTTCAACATCTTTATAAATATTGCTAAATTCCTGCTAGATTTTTGATATATTCTTGCTAAAATCGTACTAATATTTTACACCTACAACAAGTTTTCTAGTTAAACTATTATTAATTTTTTTTTCCCAGGTTTCCCTGTGGTCGCTGGCTAGGACGAGGCATAGACGACGGTTCCACCGAACGTCTCCTGGTAGGAACCCTGGTGCCTTCGACGGTGCCATCTAAGGACCTCGTGGTCGCCTGCAGCACGCCTCCGAGGTCAAGGTCACCTTGTGCAGCAGGAGGAAGCACCGTCTTGAAACCGTCCGACATTCAAACCATGATAAGTAAGGAGATAGAGGAAATATTTATATTACTCTAAATATATAACACTTCTTCTGGACATTATAAGAGATTTTTGGATTCACATGTTTTTCATAGTTTTTTTTATTTTTAGGTGATTGCGTGAACGTTTTAGTAAAATGGCACTACAAACCCAGTCGGCACAGAGATGTTAGTACTTTAACAACACTTTTGTGCGGAGAAAACGGTCTGGTCAAATCTTTGCAGCAGGCGTTCCTGTTCGGTTTTCGTTCGTCCAGGCTTTTTGGACGCAACTTGTATTTATGGGATTATTTTGGTGAGTACCAAATGTATATAATAAAACTAGATGACCCGACAGATGTTGTCCTGTACCCATGCCTACAATTTTTTAATATAATATACTAATATTTACCGAAAAATAAAAATTATTGTTTTTTAAATTACTCTTCACGACAAAATGCATATACATATATAATATGATCGATGTTAAATGTAGAACTGCTTTAAATAAAATCATGAGTCTCGATTCCCACACTGTAATATTGGAAATTGAAGTTTACTAAACGGTATAACATAACCATAACCATAACCTAATACTGGTACTTCATGTTGGATTAAATTAATTCAATTTTTTATTATTTAAGATATCCAAAATTGCGTCTTAAACTTCTCCTAATAGATATCGTGAATTGTATGTATCCATTTTTACTTTCCCATTTGTTGTTATAAAGTAAAAATTTTACGAATTTTAAAAATATTGTGGAAAAATTAATAAAAGATGTAAAGAAATTATATATTGAAAAAAAGTATACTGAAAATTTAATATCCGAATCTTGTGTTGGCGCCCCCCTAAGGCGTGCGCTCGTATTTTTCGCATGTATCGCATTAAAGGTAGGACCGGCCCTGATTAATGCTTAATTTCATATTTTAAGTGAATTAATTTGTCATATCCTATTCATGTGTGTATCATTCAATCTGCCATACATATACTGTATTTTATATTATTTTAATTTCTGGCACATCTCAGCTGCTTTTCGGCAATAATAATGTAGACATTTCATTTTTCTTATTCATAATCATAAATTTATTACACTAATAATGTCTAGGTTCATAAGTAAATTGAAATTTTTGGCAGATGATAGTTTTCATTTGTTTTCAATGCAAACAATGACATGTCGTTTTTGCAATTTTTGCTATTTATTTCTACAATATTGCACGTACATCCCAGTACTTTATGATCTCATACATCCTTAGAAAATGTCCTTAACAAACTTCAGAAAGATTTATCAAAATCCTAATAATCGTTTAGAAGGAGTGTACAGCGAGTGCTTGTAATTTAATATGAACTTTTTATAATAGCAATAAAGCTCAAATTTATTCTACGTTTTAGTTTGATAACGTTTGTATGAGAATAAGAAAGGCGCTGTTTTTAGGGGTTTCCCGGCAATTATTCGATTTTTTCTCGCCGTAAGAACCATCCTTGGACTTCAACGAACATTTTAAAAAAAGAATTGACCAAATTGGTCCAGGCGTTGTTGAGTTATGCACTTACCAACACATTTTGCGATTCATTTTTATATATAAGATTTATAACAATGTTAAAATGTGTTTTTGTATTTTTTAGTTCGTGTTAAAGAAGAATTCGAAGCGAATCTAGTCGAAGATTCTTTGGCGGCAGTTCGTGGTTCGGCGACTCCTCAGAACCAACAAGAAGTGGCGGCCGTTTGGAGGTGCTACTGCCATTTGGTGGACGAGATACAGAACGCATCACATTGCCATTCTTTGGGCAAAGATGGGAAGTTCCAGCTTTTTATTTGTCTCAGTCTGAGGTAAAAATAATACTAGCGTAATTTTTTTTGCTCTCCAAAAATCCTTTAGTACACCAGGTTAATCATAATTATTTTGTCTGTTATAGGGAGCATTTACTCCACAGAATGTTGCAACCGATGGCTGCAACCAAATTAACAGCAGAAATGTACGAAGAGCAGTCTTTCCTACGTCGAAGAGGCCTTCTAACATTTTTTAGACAAATTTTGGAGCCTTTAGACGAGTTTCATATTGTTTTGGAAAACTCTATAACCCAAGGTATACCTTCACATTGTTAAAAAATAAAATATTATTTATTTCAACCAATTATCGACGCAATAATTTATTATTATTGTCGTTGATAGTTTTAGTGTTAAGTAGATATTTTTTTAGTAGTTTTTTAGTAGAATGTTGGTCCGAAGACATAATTTTCTCAGATATTAAATTCTATTTCGGACTTTTCTATGCCAAATATTAAATTCATACCTCGTCCAAATATATGACTGATTTTTTGTGAAAAAACCTTCAACATTACTAATATTTGAAAACCACCCAGACGTAGAATTAAAATTATTAGTGAAATATTTGGGGATTAAAATAAAAATCAGGAGAAAGCACTTTTTAAACAAAAATTTCGTTTGTAAAAAAAAACCATCGAAGTTATTAAATTGTACATATATATTTGTTTTAATTATGAAAAATTAACAATAATAATTTAAGTTTATATTATTAAAAATGTATCAGTGTATCTTCAATAATTTTACCAATTTTTAATATTTTTTTATGAATCTGTGCTTCCTCCTGGTTAGATTTTTAGAAATATTAGATTTTACTGAACTGTTTTATTGAATCTAATACTAAACTATATATATACTATATAGTAACTCAGGTAATGTCGTAAAAAATAATAATTCAAGACGACATTTATGATTTGTACTAAATTTTACAAAAAAAATATAAATCGAATGCCATTTGTGAAAGTTACCATTTTTGTTAATACGTTAAATATTTATTTTGATCGTTAAATTGTAGAAGAATATATATATATATATATATATATATATATATATATATATATATATATATATAAATAACCAAATTAATATTACCTGGATTGAGTTTTTTATGAAATTTTTTTCAATGTATATAATTTGTGCACGGAGAGTTTAAACACACAAAATCGTTTATAAAAGTTGTTGTTTATGCGGTTCTACATTTAAATATTCACATAAACGAATTATTTATTAAGTAAAGATCAATTTTTGAAATGTTTTCAAAAATAAATAACGAACTGTCAAAGTTTGTTAAGGTTAAATTTTGAATGTAAATATAATTTATGCACAAGTATTTTTAACATATAGGATTTTGCCAACCATACGATTCTTTAAGTTATTTTAAGTTAAAATATTTCCTTATATAAGTTATTTATTAATTAAATATCACTTTTTAAAATATTTTTCATAAATTAATAACGAACCGTCAACTGTCAAAGTTTGCGGTCGCTGAAACTGAATTGAAGTTTGCAACGTTTAACGGACGTTATTTTTTTGATTTTCGAATCACAAATGTTGCAAAAGAATTGTTTTTAAATTTTATTTTACTATTTGCATAAATAAGTTAATATGTGAATAAATATTTGTTTTTATAAGATTATTTTTAAATTAATAACGAAATGTCAAAGTTCGCGGTTGGTTGTAACACTGCGAAGCGCGCGTTGTTCATGGTTGTTGAACTGTCATTCGTTTTACGTTGAAATACAAAAAGTACTGTTTTTATATATTTATTTATATATTTCTTGGCTTTAAAAGTTTGAAAATACGCTAACAAACTATTTGTTCAAAAATTTAAATCGCTATAATTTTCTGTGGTGTTTGTGCAAAAAATATATGAACCACTAAATATTCGTCGAATCGACTTTCGTGATACAAATTTATACAAAAGTATAGTTTTTTATAATTATTTAGCTATTTTGTGACTTCATATGCTGTAAAATGCCTTTAATAAAGGTAAACCGTTTGTTCCAAAAATTTTATAACGTTAATAGTTTTGTGTGATATTTGTGCAAAAAATTGTGGTTAAAGTCGTTTGACGTTTGATAATGGCGGCCAGGAATAAATGATCTGTTTTTTTTTTAACATTCAAAGCTCAGTCCAGGTAATAAATAAATATATATATATATATATATATATATATTTATCTCTGATATCACATCTTGCCAAAATCCAAAAAAACGACAATAGAAGTCATCACCTATATATTTATATTTGAATTTATTTATTTAACTAACTTTGTACATATATATTAAATAACTAAATCCCAGTTTTAGTTTTATAAAAATTCTAGTTTTAGTAGATGCAGATAGATGAAATACTCATTAGTTTTTAAGAACTTTCTTCCAAATTTTAGTCACTTTTAAATATTTTGTTTGTTATTTGAAATTGAGAGCAGTTCAAAATATTATTTAGTAATTAATTTATAGATTTATTTTCCATGATGTTCCTAAATTTTATTTCAAAGTTATTTGTCTTTGCAAATCTTTCTAGAATTTTGTTAGTAATTTTTTACTAGTTACAATACTATTTTTTTGCTTTATAAGCAAATTTTTGCAAATTTCATATAGTTTATATGTTTTTAAACAAAATTTTCAAAGGAATAATATATCATATTAATTATTTCCTAATTTTTGTAGGAAAAGGTACATATAAATACATAACTAAAAACTTTTCAGTTATTAAAATAAAATTAAATTTTTGTTTAAAACATTTTTTCATAAACAATTAAATAATACTTCTGTAAATCTTGTAACAGTATTTTAATTATGTATTGAGTATATTATTTTTTATATATCCTGAAAAAAAATAATTAACTTTTTATTGAAAATTTTGAGTTTCCTATTTTTAAATAAAATATTCCTAATAATTTCAAAATTTAATAGTATTATAATTTAGTTTAAATTTTGTAGTTTTATACACAAAAGAAGAATCAAAATTATTTTAAATAAAATTTAGTATTACTTTAATAACTGGATGGATCATTGTTTAAACTTTTTTTTATTATATATATATATATATTTCAAAGTAACTAGCAGCCCATTCGTCGAAATAAAAAAGGTATAAAGTGTAAATACTTTTATTTATACGTTTCGACACAAGATGCGTGTCATCATTCAGCAACTACAACAATTTGAAAATTTTATTACTAATATAAACAACAATATAGATTAATTGTATATGTTATTAAGTTTAATTTTTTAAAATAAATTTTTGTTGAGTGTTTTTGTCCTGTGGTGTGTATAATGTTTCTCTATGCTACAATTAATCTATATTGTTGTTTATATTAGTAATAAAATTTTCAAATTGTTGTAGTTGCTGAATGATGACACGCATCTTGTGTCGAAACGTATAAATAAAAGTATTTACACTTTATACCTTTTTTATTTCGACGAATGGGCTGCTAGTTACTTTGAAATATGTTTCAACGTCGAAAAAACTATCAAGATATATATATATATATATATATATAAATATAATCTGATTTATTTATAAAAGTTACCAAAGATTATATTCCTTCATATATAATTTTATATAACATATATTTGTGATATTAGTTTTGAAAATTAAAAAATTCAAAAAAGTCCAATATTTTAATTTAGATTTAGAATACATATATGTGTATAGATAATAAGTTAATAATAATAAGTACATTAGATGATGATGATATATTTTATTCAACGTGAAAAATAATACTGATATTATAATTATTATAATAATGTATTTATGTAATATGTACAAACAGATAAAAATATATATGTAATTGTAAAATGGGTTTGTTTGAAACATAAAACAAAGTGGGTAAAAATCTTTAAATTTAAAAAAGTTATATAGGAAAATACACGATTTTTGCGACCTTGCAGTTTACATCATTATTTGCAAAATTATGCATAAATATCAAATTTAATCTAGCTAAAAAAAAGTAATCAGAAATTTTAAAAGCCATTTGATGAAACTAGAAATCGTTTCTTTTAAACTACTTTTATTTTCTTCACAAAAAATTCATTTTCAAGGACGTTTCTTCTTCCTCACAAATTTGTCTCAAAGATTCTCTTCTCGAATCAAGTTTCGTTTCCAAAGACGAAAACAAAAGATATAATAAATAATAATTGCACGTTCTTTCGACCGTAATTACATACGACGATATATGTATGTTATATGTAGTTACCTTGAAGATATTCTTAAATGTTGCAATTGCACCTCCTCGGTCGAAGATTTTATCTTTTGGAATTAAATGAAACAGGTATAAATAATGTATATGAATGGAATGGATTCAAATAGACTAGTTTTTGGCAGAGGCAGGTCCAGCGATTTTGGAGATACAGAACAGAAATTGCAAAGAATATCAGTTTTATCCGATTAGCTGATTCAAAAAACAATTGGTTTGTGTTGACTTTGTGAAGAAGATAGATTTTGAAGATGATAGGTCCGGCAGTTTCAAAATTTTAGAAAAATTTCGAGATTTTCGAAAAATTTAAGTTTTTATGCCAATTATTTTTGATTATTATATATACATATATACAGTGCCGGTCCTGCCTTGCATGCGATGCATGCAAAAAATGCGGGCGCACGCCTTAGGGGGCGCCAAAACGAGTTTCGGAAATTAAATTTATAATATTTTAATAAATTATAATAAACAATCTAACTTAACTAGGGATACGGAGACACAAAAAACATATTTATTTTGCAATGTGATATTAGTAGGAACAATTATCCGATTAATAACTCTGCAAATTAGTAAATAACAGCTCTGTTTATTGCTTAATCTACTTATTCAATATTTTCTTTGTTTGAAGTTACCGTGGAATCGAAAAAGAAATTATTTAGTGTTCAATCCCATATGCGCAAACCTGCGAAAGATTTAATTAATTATTGGGCATTATTGACGAAAAATTGCGAGCTGATTTAGTTGAAACGGAACTTGTTAAAAATATAAACAAATTATAATCGGGAAAAAAATGGGGAGTCAGTTCTTAGAAAATGGCATGTTTATTCTGATTATGAGAAATTGGATTGTAACTTTTGCTTTTGTTCCAAATGTTTCGCTTCTGGTGAATTTTGAATGTTGAAGACATGCGTGATTAGGGTTATGGAAATGGACTAAATCTAAAAAATGAAAGCAAAATTTACTTTGGAACAAAAATCTTACGGCTTTATTTTATATCTAGTGGTGCCCATACTCTAAATTTAATAATTATTAATTATACAGAAATAATAGATATAAAATATAATTAGATTTTTTTTTCAATATAGTTCAAGAAATGTGTATTTTCTTTTTTCATTTTTTACTGATTTTTGGACAATACTTCTAAAATACGTTAAAAAATTATCACAATCACAATTGAAACAATCTGATACTCTGAATGTGACGGGAAAACAGGGATGAATACAATTCGGGTCTTACGATATCAATAAGGAGAATTTTACGCCGCAATTTTTGATATTGTAAATAATGAAAAATTAAATTAAATTAAAATTTAAAAAATCCAACATGAAATACATGCAAGCTAGTTTTTTAGCTCTCCTGGCATGATTTGCTCAATAGAATAAATCGCATAATAAATAAGTAAAATGTTTCAAAATCCAAATATTAATATTGCGTTAAAATACGTTAAAAATAATTGAAAATTTAAAAATATTTGATAATAATCAACCCGCGAATTGCCTCGATTTTCTAAATAAATTTAAAATCAATTTATTTTATACGCTTTTACATTATATCTAATATTTTGTGTACTAAATCCTAAATAATTAAAAATCCTAGATAAAACTAAATCCAGAATAATTAAAAATTAATTTAAAAATAATATGTACATATTTATATAATTTTAATGAAAAACTGTTAAAACAGTTAAAATTAATAGGGAGGGGGGCGCTAGAAAAAAAGTTGCATGCGGGCGCTAAGGACCCCAGGACCGGCCCTGCATATATATATATACATGTCGTCGCCCATTATGTTATATTTACAAAAAATATAAATGATGGAATTTATTGTATTTATAATAAACAGAATAATAATCATTGATTAATTTTTATTTATTATTGATTATTTTTATTTGCCTTAAGGCATAATTCAAGACAACACTGTTCATTATGTTTAATAATATATATTCAGATTATTTTTGTTTATTAACTTCCCGTAGGGTAAATTACAGTAGTCTTTTACGTTTCAAAGCTCTCTGAACATTTTGGCATACCTTAGAAAAAATGAATGTATGTGTGTGTATGTGGTATGTATATGAGCACAGGTCAACTGATTCCCATTAATAAGGTGATGTGCTGATTAGGTTTTGGCAAAGGCAGGCTAAGCCGTTACGGAGACACGGAGCAAATATTGCTGAAAATGAAAACTCGTTTTTTGCAAGAATCGGGCATCCGATTTGAATGATTCAAAAAACATTCAATTCGTAATGATGAAGAGAAGCGGTGATTAGTTTTTGGCAAAGGCAGGTCTAGCCGTTTCGGAAATACGTACAAAATGTGTTAAAAATTGCAGTTTTTGAGAGAAGGAGCAACCGATTTGAATTATTTATGAAACTTTGGTTGGTTGGTTGGTTGTGTTGATTGAACTATTGTTTTTGGGGACAGCGGAAAAAATATTTTTCTTATTTTATTTTGTAGAATTATTTTTTTAATATCGAAAATAATTCGAATTTTAATTTTAATTCTAGCTATAATTCTAAAACTCACTTATATACTTCAAATAAATATTTTTAACTTTATTCAGTTTATATAATTCTTCTAAGTATGAGATAAGATCCTTTATTTTAACTCCCCTTTATTAAATTCTTTTCATTTACTTGGCATGTAAGCTTATATAAAAGGTCATCGTCTAATTTAGCTCTTATACTCTGTCTATAAAATATGAATGATGAAAGTTACGGTATTTATAATAATATATTTGAAAACAATCGAAATTTTTCAAATATTTTATTACAATACAGGAAGTTCCAGCAGTTAAGGGCACAATGCCATGTAGCTCTAGTTTTATTCTTGCGCAATCAAATTGAATGATTTCTTGAATCTGGCCGAAACAATAATGATAAAAATAATTGTACACATTGATTTTTTTGGATATAAATGATAAATTTATACAAAAATTATATAAAGTATATTTTTGTCGGTAATAATTTGCATATTGCACCAAACCAGGATTCCGTAAAATATCTGGGAATACATTTAGACAGTAAACTAAATTGGAAAACGCATATTTTAAAGAAAAAAAAACAAATAGATTTGAAACTGAAGGAAATAAACTGGCTAATGAGAAGATCATCTAAACTGTCTCTAGAAAATAAACTCCTCTTATACAAAGCAATAATAATTCTAATATGGACTTATGGGATAGAGCTATGGGGCTGCGCCAGCAAGAGTAACATTCAAATAATCCAGAGAGTACAAAACAAAACTCTGAGAATGATTTGTAAGGCTCCGTGGTTTATGACCAACCACATGATCCATAAAGACCTAAAAATTCCAACAGTGGCGGAAGTTATTAAGAACAGAAGTTTTATCTTTCAAAACAAATTGGATGCACACGTCAATCCGGAAATGCAAATAGTACAAACAGCCGAAAAATTAAAACGCCTGAAAAGAAAATGGCCCAGTGATCTACCGTCAACAACATAATTTCCCTGTTTCGCACAGGAAAATTTTCAAACAAGTTATTTTTAATTATTATTTATTATTGATTATCGTTTTTATTATTAATACTATTATTTTAATTATTATTTATTCATTCATTTATTCTATTTCTTTTCTTTAATTTCCTTTATTCTATTTTTTTTTCTTTTTGATTTTGATTTTCAATACCATAACTTTTAACTTATAGATTGTATTGTAATCTGATTGTTAAAATTAACAGAAATAAAAAAAAAAAAAAAAAAAAATATTTTATTTGCATTTGTTCTGTGTAAAACAAAAAAATCTCAAAAATATTGAAAATCTGTTCAACTTTTGTTTAAATTTCGCGCCCAATCAATAAAAATAAAACTATATATCGATACCATCATTGTGGCCAACTATCGATTTCCCGAGCGAAAAGAATTTGTAAAGAAACTCGCCCGTCGGCGCGTTTCGACTATCCCCCGCTAGATGTCTCCCCCATCGCTTGTATTGTATTGTGATACTCGAGTTGCCTTTGCAAACAAAATGGCGTAGCATAATGTGAAAGGCAACTCGTTGTTTGATTTTAATCGTCGTTTCAAACGATAAAAACGCTCTCAAATACTAATTAATTAATTGCGCGAGTGACGATTGCATCCCCGTTGTGTTTGTTATGTTAAATTGTGCAGATACGTGCGCGTTCTGAGTCAAAATCGTAGACAATCACAGGAACCGAAAACGAATACGAGTACGAAGCCATATTTATGATGTTATCAAGTTTTGTGATTATTATGTTTTGAAGGAAAACCGGGAACGTTTTGGAAGTGTGCTAGAAGATTAATCGGATGTAAGTTGTTTAATGGATTTATTGTTTTGTTGTGGAATGTTTTGGTGTGGTGGATATTTGGCGGCGTTTTTGTGAAGTGGCAAGGTGGACGCGGGGTCTTTTGTATTGTAATTATGTAGCCATTCATTTCATTCCGGTAAGGATTACATTGTTACAATGTACGTTTTTAGGCGACGAAAATGTTATTTGGGAATGGAAAACGTTACATTTGTGGGCTACAATGGGAAAACAATTAATCATAATTGTATATGTCACTTTGGGTTACATGGCTAACTTTTTGTGTACGAATTATCAAACAGATAGAACACTTGCACAACTTTATTGTTTATTGTTTTTGATCGATACGAAATTTTTAGACGAAACAATATTACATAGGTAAATTGAATAAACAATGTGTATCTAATTAAATATATTATATGAACATATATTTATTTACATAGAGGTATATTTTTATATCTTTTTTATTTAATAATACAAGGATATCACAATATTGCAAAGAGGACTTTCAAAGCCCTCTTTCTAATTATAAACATTATGCTTGATTTCATTTATTCATTTTGTTCTTTTTTCAAATTATGGTGTTCTGTATTTTTTGCTTTGGTTTTTAAGCTATTTGAGACCTTTTTTAGGAAAAGAAACCAGTATCATAGACGAAGAAAATATTTTATAAAAGAAGTATCTGTCTAAAAAAAATCTAAATTATTGATTGAAGTCAAAATTAGCATATTCAGAGATTTTATAAAAACTATTAGCTATTATTAACTGTGGAGTTTTACTTATCGAAGGAAAATAAATTTAAAAAGTTGTATGTCAACTCCATCGATGTTGTAAGATTAGAAGTTATTTATTTCATATTTATGTAAATATCATATTTTTGGGTACAAAACTATACTCATTAAACAAATTACTACTTTAATTAAATTTGTTACAGTAAAATGTAAGTTGTTTTATAAGATTAAGAAGAAAATTCAAATGGGATCTTCTTGATAGTATGCGAGTTGAAGATAAATCAAAGTTTGCAGTTTTTATTACAACTGGATTGATTTTTACAATTTCATTGCGTACAATTTTTTTTTTTATATTAATTATTGAAATTTTACTTTCATGAGTTTTGCTTATTTTATGTGGATTAACTTTTTAATAACTTAGCCGTTTACTGCTCTTCTTCTGGTTTTAAATAAAAAAAATTAAATTTAAATCATTTGTATCCAAAACTTGTCAATCTAATGTTTGTATGTATGCGTATATATATATATATATATATATATATATATATATATATATATATATATATGTTATTTGTATCAAATTCATCAAGGCATATCAAATTCAAAAAAAAATATTTTATATAACTTTTTCTCCAATGTTTTGAAATATTATCTTATGTTATCTTCAGTGGTACTAAAAATTAAAGAACAATACAAATATAAACTAACTAATATAAAATCACATAACATTGTGAATAACATTTAAATTTGAAGACTTTATTTAGTTTAATTCTATTTTAGATACTAAAATTTTATTTATTTTTATCAATATTTTTACTTTTTACTTATTCTATCTTTTTGTTACTTTTTACATTTTTATTAAATTAATTACTTTGTTTTTTGGTATATTTTATTAATTGTTGTGTTATATCAATAATTATCTGTTTATATTTATAAAAAATAATTGATTTATGCTTTTGTGAATATATTTCAATTTTTGTATGCTCCAGTTTATATTATCATTAAAGATGACATAAGAATATATCAAAACCTTTGAGAGAAACAAAGATACTTTATAAAATCTTTAATTGTTATTTCATGTGTATTGTCCTAAAGAATTTGATAAACATATTTTGACATAAAATTATTATAAAGAACTCAATATATATTGTGTGTGGGTCTATAATAGAATATTTAATATAATTTCTAATGAAACAATTTAATGGCTTTTATATATGTGGAGTCTCAGTTTGACTCTTTCAAATGATAAAACAATTTATAAAATAATCAACAAAAAGTATTAAACAGTGACACAACCAATATTAAAAAAAAATTTATATACAATTAAAAAATGAAGCTTGAAACGTATAATTAAAATTGAGACTCAAAATGTATGGAAGATACATTTTGAATAAAATTTCAAAACATTCTTGAGTTTCTCTTTTTAACAACTTAATGTAAATGCCTGTATAATTTTTGTGTTCATAATTATATATACAGAAGCATTTTATTGTTTTATTATCTAGCTATTTTCAACTCATATTTTTCATTTTTCAGATTTTCCCGTAAGTTACCTCAATAGAAGCAGGCAGTTACCATTGCCGAAGGCGAAACTTGTATTTATATAGAAATCTTTTCCTGCAACACAAGGTCAGTAAGTGTCTATCTTGGCCTGACGTATTTTGCCTAAGTTAGGTATGTACCTGGTTGGCGATCCGAAATACGGCGCAAAATTTAACGCCAGTCCTTGCGTAAGGGACGACATTTGTGGAAGATGAATAATTAGCAACGATATTTAAGATAGCACTAGATATCGTCAACAGTTTATTTTGGTTATTTCCAAAAGCACTATGGATCCAGTGGGACCATGGTCTGCCTACGCTTCGTACAACCGATTGACGGGCGTACAGCCTGGTTCTACCGGCGGGGATTTTCACCATCACCTTGCCGCCAGCGGAGCCACGGGGTTGACGCACAACGCGGCCAGCGGAGTCCCTTCGACCACTTCGCAGCTGCTGTTGCAAGCGGCCCACACGACTGCCTCGCTGGCCGGACAGCTTGGCAGCTCTACGGCGTCTCCATTCAATCCGGGGACCTTTCTGTCACCACCCCCAGTGGCCTATGACGCAATGTTTTCGCCGCTATTTCACCACGGCAATCCGAAACCGGCTCATTACAGTTCTACCATCAATGCCCAGCATCGGCAGGCTTTGGCCCAAGCTCAAGCAGCTGCGGCCTCGAAACAGGCCAGTGTCGAATCTGATCTATCCACATTGCGTGAGAATTACAACCAGCATCATCAGTCGCTAGCCGCTGCTCAGAGCAGTGGCTTCTTTGACCAGTCAACGGCCTCGGCTCAAGCTGCCTCGTCAGCTTTGGCCTGGCAAAGTAACAATCAGTTACCCAGCCCATTTGGCATTTTGCCACATGAGAGTGTAGTGCCCTCATCCCCTGGGCCTCCTAATACAACGAAAGCAACTACGGCGGTGTATGAGAATTTCAATGCACATTTTGCAGCAGCACAAACTTTAAATAATCATATCAACACACAAATAGTGTCGGCAAACAATAAAAGTGCAAGATCAGCATCACCTCAAGTAGTCAATCCACCAGTGAAACCTGTCGCATCACAGGCATCGAGCAACAGTGCGTCCTTTTATCAAGCACCTTCTAGTTTCGGATCTTCAGAGCCTCTGACGAGTTACAGTGGGACTAATGCAGCTAAACAACAACAAGAATACCAATCAGGGAGTGGAAGTAAGTCATTTTCATCGAGCAGTCAACAACAAAATGCTAGTTCGTCTTCTCATATATCACAGCAGTCTTGTATAGTGTCCACTCCTCCCTCTGTCACATCCCCGTCAAAAGAATATCGTGTCAATAGATCTTCAGTTACTTCCAATTCAATGTATAGTTCCTCAGTTACATCACGTTCCTCTGATAAAGTATCTAATTCTCGTTCAACGCCTTCTAGTAATTTTGTACCACCTTCTAGTAAAAATTCATCATCTCAAGTTCAGACCAAGGCTCAGGCAAAAGTGTATCCTGAGTCTAGGTCATCTGAAGAAAACGCTCAGCCCCAATCATCCCCAATTAGTTATTCCATAATGGATGCCCCCGGTAGGTTAAGTTATTCAGGTAGTAATAGTTCTTCCAAAACTAGTTCAACTAGATCTATAGTTTCAAATCAATATCAATCAGCACAACCTTCATCTTATCGTCATTATCAATCTGGAAATAACCCAGATCCTGAGTATCATTCAAGAAATAAAAATTCTAATACCGATAGTCAGTATTCAAATAGTTCGAACCAGCAAAATGGGCCAGATTGTGGAGTTGTAGTCCCAAGAAGGCCCAGTCCATTGCAAGCCCGTTCACAAGCATCTCCCTTAGGTCATGTTCCCAGTCCTGCTTATCCCATGTATAATAGTCCTATGAATTCAATAGCATCCCCTCAGCATGCAGAACAATCCCAAATGTCCACTTACAATAAGAGTTCTGTAGCGCCTAGATCTCCATTAGATGTAACAGTTTCAAGACCTGCCTCTCAAGGCAGTCAGGTAGCATATCCCTCTGTCATAACTCGAGCTTTGGGCATTGATCAGGGTAAATCGAATGCCGGCTATTCGGAATCGACAAATTCGAGATATGACAGAAATCCAACACCCCAATCTTCACAAAGCCAACAAAATTGCTGGGACAATAATGATAACCGTCAAAGAAAATACACTTCTTACAGTAGCACTAGTACAAATTCCGATATTCAAAATGTTAGAACGATAGAAATACAATCACAATTAGTTATACCTCCTTCAGTTAACCAACAAAATATAGCACAACAGGTGGTGCAGCAGAGACCTGCCGTTGCCGCCGATTCTAATAAACAACAAGCGTATTACGACGGACAGACGAGCAACGCTACCACTTTGCAAGATTTGTCGAGTTGCCGAGGCGATCCTATGAGCATTGTAAAAAATTTGCAAAATTTACAGCAGCAAAGCTGCCAGGTTCAACAGCAGGTCGAAGTTAAACCTGTTGCAGCACCTGTTGTGGAAAAGGTTACAGTTTCACCCGCACCTACGGCTGCAGCGTCCAAGCGAAGGAAAAGTAGTGAGAAACCTAATCTGAACGAATTAGCTGGAGCTGCCATGGCCGAATATTTCACGAATCGGGTACCACCTCCTGCACACAGCTCTACGACTAATCAGCCCCAACAGAACGGTACATATTTCGATTTCGAACGGTGGAATTTACCGCCTCCGCCTCCCAAAATGTTTACGGGGGCTGCTTCCGCGTTCGGTTCTCATTCGGCTAATTTCAATAGCCAACACCAGAGCCTGATGGTGCCACATCCGCATACGCACCACGCGCCGCCTATTCCATACTTTTCGTCCTTTCACTTGGCACCGCATCATCCTTCGTCCGCCGCGAGTAGTGAATTTCACAATTCTTCCACTGCCAGTAATTCCTCTGAACAGCAACTCCCTTACGAAAATCCGAATCAGTCGTCCAATAATTCCCAACAACAGACTGCTGCATTTGCTGAATCACAGCAACGTGAAGACGAACAGCCCAAAGTTGTCGTTCCGAATATAGAGGAAGAACTTGGATTTCTTGCAGAAAACAATCGAAATCAACACCAACAACAACAACAGCAACAAGCGAACGCCGGCGGCGCAGGCATAGTCCAGCAGGGGCAAGCGAACAGTATGCCGGTGGCGCAGCAACAGCAGGGCAACGACATGGTGCCCAAGATCCAAGAGAAGAAAGTGACTGTGCCCGTGACGAGCGGTTCGGGGTTCATGGCGAGCTATTTGAAATTCTTACAAGGCGAACGCGACTCGTCGCCGCCGCCTGCGTCACGCGGAGCTCGCAAGACTAATACGTGGTCTCGGCCGACTCCGACGGTGACCAGTTCCGCATCTCCTGCTCCGGTCGTGACAGCAAAACCCGCCGACAATCTGGCTAGCAACGGCATGCAGCAGTCGTCGCACCAGCAGCAGCAGCAGCAGCAGCAGCAGCCCACTCCTCACCAGAACATAATCGCTCAGGTGAAGAGCAGCGAGGACGACCCGCGCTACTTTCCGCTGCCCAAGGAGCGAAAGCGCAAAGGCTTCGACAGTTCGGACGACGGTTTCGACACGAGCGACGACGACGGCGGCCTCGGCCGTTCGCGCATGAAGCCCGTGCTGAACGTGCCGAGCGGCATGCCGGCCGAGAAGGCCAAGAAGCCGGGCAGGCCGCCGATGGCGCAGAACAAGCCGTGCGCCGCCACTGCCCAGAAAAAGTCGCGAACCCCGAACCCTCCGAACGCGCCGGCACAGTCGCAAATGCAGGGCCAACAGTACTATCAACAGCCGGCCGAAGAAGGTGCGTTCAATTTTCTAGATTTCCACTTCCGAAACCGACAGAGGTGGTGAAGTTATGTCGTTTGTTAATTGTTTTCATAAAAAGTTGCCATTTTCTCGCTCGAATACGAATCGTTTTCGAACATAGGCCCGGGGGGTGCTACCAGGTATAAAATCACTACTGTGCAGTATTGTTATTAATCGAAATGGAAAGTAATTAATTAATGAAATGAAAATTAATTTTTAGTGTCTTACATATTATAATTATTAAAACAAATGGTGTCCTCCTACGCCGTACTTTGTACAAATCTTAACCCAGTGCTGTATCGGACAGACAAACAGACTTTATTATGTATATAATAACAAACAACCATGTGTATTTGAATATGGACAGTATTCAATGTTTTTAGTTAGGCCTTAGATATATATAACAGACACACACACACACCCACACACATACACAAAAAAAACTCGAAAAATGATATTATTAATCATACTTTTAATGTAGCTTTGAAATAAAGAAAATACATATTTTTATTGATGCTAAAGACATAAGTAACTATTGCATAGGACAAAAGGCAGCCAATCAATTATATACGTATAAAATAATTTATATGCATATAAAAATGTTGTAAAATATATGCAACACACAACTCTGTATATAGTATTTCATAACGCATATATGCTACCTAAGTAATAATTGTACATTTTTGCAACAATAATTTTTAATTATTGACTATATGAAAGTATTATTGACGCTCAAATTGAGCTAAGACATTTAATTTTTTCTAGATATTTTATTTGACAAAATTCTATTTAATTATTGTTATTTGTTCATGCACGATGATTCTCTAATAATATTATGTAAATACTTTTGTAATATAGTTGATATCAAATCAGAAAATAAAATACAAAGTATATGAAAGTCTTTATATATGGAGTTTGCTGTATACTGTTCTCTGCGGACTGTGAATTTATCCTTGGTAGCACCCCACCATACGTTTGGAAGACAATATGATACGAGATAAAAAAATCAAAACAAAAACAGACATCATGTACATTTAATGAAGACAACAGACAAATATATGCGAGCTATGCACACCCCCGAATGGAACAGCATCTGATCGATGAAGATCACCAGTGAGATAATATTTTGATTATTTTTTTTTTAAATTATGTGCTCGAAGATGATGTTTGATGACAGGGCTTGCCGTTGTGTGCATAGCTCTGTGTTTTTTGTGTGTCGTTGATAATTGTACATGATTTACTGAGTATGTATTGTTTTCTCAACTCCTATGACATCCTATCCTTGCCTATAATACTCACATTATTTTTCAGAAATTTTAATATAATTTTAATTTCACATATTTGCTTGTCTCATAAACAGAGACATATTAAAATTTAATTAAAATTCATTTCAAGAAGATGGTCAACTTAAATCATATTTTTTATAATACATTGTGTGGAGGAAAATCATCACAGGTAAATTTCTTTTCTCATGGCTTTTGCATGCTGACACAACTAACTAATCTGATTAATTTCAACAAATCTTTTATCCATTTATCCATTATTATGCAAATTGTTATTTGAGTAGCCGATCCATTATTGTTGCCCCCACGGAGAGAGACTTCGAAGAGGAAGGCCAAGGAGCGCAACAATATTGCCCAATTGATCGACAGACAGGCTGCAGGTGATATGGATGACCCTGAGGAGCCCCCAGAGTTTGTTGATTCGGATTCGGACCCTGCTTGGACCCCACAAGCCACGGTAAGATAATAGATACATATTTATAAGATTTAGATTTTTTTGTTCGGCGTTGAGTATCATCTCAGCGATTTTTTTATATATATACAGTACCTAAAACAATTGTAACAAAGTTTAAAAAAGATTAAATTTAAAGATTTCTTTTTAATGAATAAAAGATTAATGTTTTTTAAACTTTATAAAAATTCTCTTAAATACTGTATAAATATCAAAAAAAAAGCTGAATGATGACACACATACCGTGTCGAAACGTATAAATAAATAAGAATTATTTATTGTTGTTTTAACTCCACGATTGGCTGCGAATATAACATTCAAGAAGACATATTTATATAAACATACATGTAATATATTAAGATTTTAAAATTTTGAATTAAAAACCTCCTTTTTCCAATTTAATTTAATTTTTTTAATTCACTTTAATTTTTACATTATTTCATATAACGTTTTGCGAATATGGAATGTCATCTTTTTCTTATTAATTTTTTTTAATAAATATTATACAGTTTATACACACAATTTAAAAAATTTATTGCTTCAAAATAAAATCAGTTTCTTTGTCAAGAAAACTTAGATTTCGTTAGTCTGTATAGTTTTATTTTTGTATTATATTTAAATTGTCTTGAGTAAATTAATTAAACCTTTTTTTAAAAAATTGTGAAGGTTTTACAAATTTTTAAAACATAAATACAGCTAATTGGATTTTTTCTAGCTTCAATTATTAACTAAGTGGTCCCGCACCAAAAACTAAAATTTTTAAAAAAGATTCAATTTTCTTTTAGAACTATGTAAAAAATCGATTTCTGCGACTTTTAAAATTTTTGTAAAGAATTGACCTTTTATGAAAAATTGATGTGCTTTAAGGCAAATTGCTGCAACTTCCCGTACCAAAATTTTTTTTTTAATTTGAGATCTTTAAAATTCTTGATATAAATTGACCTTATTTGAAAAATTGATTTTTTAATACTTATATGTATATATTGGCAAATATTTGGAAATTTTAGAAGCGCGTGGTCGCAATATACCGGGTGAACATTGGTACGGAACCCATAAAAAAGTCTAACAAAATTTGTTCTTGTTATTAAAATTTCTATAAAATATGTGATAATTTGATGTGCATATGTCTAATGATCATTGTTGTCCGCTAAATGACTTTTTTTTTACTTTTTTTTGGATCTCCGAAACCGCTAGACCTGCCTTCCCAAAAATTTCACCAGTTCTTCATTTCGCCAATACAAATAAAATATTTCTTGAATCATACAAATCGGACGCTCCGTTCTCTTAAAAACTGAGTCACCATTTTTGTCACTTTTTGCCCTGTATCTTCGAAACGGCTAGACTTGCCTTTGCTAAAAACTAATCAGCACGTCTCCTTATCAATGCGAATCGAATGTTTTTTGAATCAGTCAAATCGATTGACCCGTGTTCCCGAAATACATCAATTCACACATAACATTCATTTTTTCTAAGGTATGCCAAAATGTTCAGAAACCTTTGAAACGTAAAGATATGCAAAAAATGTTATTTTCGATTTTTTGCGATTACTATACTTACCCTACGGGAAGTTAATAATAATAATTTATGTTCCCTCCTAGCTAATAGAATTTTCTAGCCCTAATTATTATTAATAATGATTTTTTCCTCCCAGGCTGATGAAGATGGTCTACCAGCAGTATCAGGAGTTGGCCGAAAGAAGAAAAAGAGCAAAGTGCCTAATCAGGGACGGAAAGCAAGAAGATCCAATATATTATCAGGTATAAATAAAATTTTACTTGATATAAAATCATTCATAATTGCTTTGGGTGTTTAATCCAAGAAACTTGGATTATAATTGTAAAATTCTAAGGCATGTTAACAAAATTATTTATATATTTAATATGTGTTTTTATAATGAGCATATGTGTTTTTCACGCTTTCATTGATGTTTGCTGTTGGACATTATTGGTAAATAAATTTCTGTTTATATATTCTGAGATTTTAATAAATATTTGTACAAATTGCACATGGTTTGCTTAAGGGCGCATTCTAGTGTAGAGCAATAAATTTTAGGTCATTTTTAAAATGTCGTAAAAGAAAGCAATGAATGTTTTTACTATCCATTATTTTTACCACTTGTTTACTAATATTATTAAAATACAAAACAAAAATTTAAAAAAAGTTGAAAATTGAAAAAACTGTCGGCTGATGAAGTGGGGGGTCTCAAAAAATTGTCACCTCATTCTTGACATGATTTCAGCCCTCCTAGCCATCCGAAATAAAAGAAATAAAAAGATTATTAATCTACAATGATGTCGCAATCGCCCGAACTAGCGATGAGTAAAACAATTTTTTTTTACAAATTGACGACTGTTTGAGAAAAAAGTGTCTTTTTTGACTGTTTTTTGAGTTTCTCGAAGTTTTTAAAAACAGTAAAAATTGGAATTTGGGGATACTGCTAGTTCGGGCAACAGATAGGTCTATAAACAAGACTCTCTGAAAATTTCAAGTGAATCGGTCGAGTAGAACTCGAGAAATCGTGTCAACAGTGAAAAAGCCTGTTCTGAGAAAAACCCATTTAAAGTTTTGCGTAAAGTTTTTTGCTGTCAAAGACATAAAATGATATGTAATACTTCTTTTATTTAATCTGCCGTTCCTGCTTCATGCATCGGACCTTCTTCTACTTCAAAAAAAACTATTTTCTGCATTTCTCTCCTCCAATCGAGCAGTTCTTTGAAGCGTTGGATGTGCGTATTTCAGATCGTTTCAGATTGTCTCGTCTTACAGCAAATGAATGAGTTTCTGGCCCAATTTGAATTACCATAAGGGTCATCATTTTTAAAATCGGAAAAAAACCTTCACTGAATTTGCAAACAGCAATAAATGTTGCTTTTCAAATACCCGAGATCGGGAATGAATATGTTTCGGCGCGAAAATCCAAAACAACGAGTTTAGAGACTCATTATTGTTCTGAGTTTCTGAACCTATACATCGAATTAATAATTCATCTGACGATAAACTGTCTTAAATTGGTCTGATGACTTCCTTATGCCTTATGTCCGATTGGACCCTGCCAAACCAGTTTGGAGACCGGGTCAATAAAATGCCTATATCTCCGAAAATAATTCAAATTTTCAAAAATCTTTTCGTACCCATATTTTTAGATAGTTGTTAAACTTTGAAAATATGAAACAAAAAAAAACAATTTTTTGGAATTCTACACTAGAATACCCCCTTAAAACTTCGGTTGTCTGCTACTTACATATCAAGACGAGGATAAGCAATTTGTAATAAGCTGTTAATTTCCACTAATTTGAAATCCAATATTGAGATGTTATATACAACACCATTAAAATTAACCATTTTCCCAAAAACTTCTTTTCACAATTTTCAATTACAAATGTGCATTTATTATACAATACTAATTATTTCCTCTATTCCTAGTTGCCGCCCAAGGAGCAGGCATAAACGACCTCGACTATTCGTCCGACGACGACGACATCCCTCCGCCGAAGCAGCGAGTCGGAGTCATCCAGCAGATGCAGCCCCAGCACCATCAAGTTAACACGAACTGCCAGCAGCAGCAGCAGCAGAATGTCATCCAGCATCAACAGCAGACGATGCCTCAGCAGCAGAACGTCATAATGCATCATTCGCAGCAACAGCAGCACCATGTTCAGCATCAGCAGCAGCAGAACATGATGCAGCAGAGGCAGAACAATGCCATTATGACGAATGTCATTCAGCAGCAGCAGCAGCCTGCGGGGGATCATTTCAAGGTGATAATGGATACATGGAGTAGTTGCTTGTTGCATCATTGTTTTTGCTAGATAGTAGAACTATTTTAATTAATTATTTATTCATAAGCAAGCCGTAATCAATAATAATAAATATTATTTTAGGCTTGTATTTTTTTTGTTATTTTCAATTAGAACTGGAACAGTCTTATTATAAACAAATATTCAACAAATTTTAATACAGAACAAATAATTTTTAACAAATCTTTGGCATAGAATTTTTTTTCAATTACAATATTTATTACAACTGTTAAAATAATAACATCTAGTAATAATAATAAACAATGATATAAATTTAAATAAATAAGAGTACAAAGGATATAATTTACATTAAAATGATATCCTAAAATGTAGTATGATGATTTAAAATAAAATAAAATCAAATAATAATAATAATAAAATTAATAAATAAGATAAATGAAATTGCATAGAATAAAATAAGAAATGAAAAACGATTTTGCTTTTAAAGGTTTCAAATTAATTTTATAACATTCTTTCTTCATATTTTTCATTTCAAAACATTCGTATTTTTAACAAATTTATTTGTATATCAAAAGTTTTATTTGATTTTTGTTGGGATCAGTATAAATTATAGTCTAATTAAAAAGAAAATACTTTGTCGACTTAGACTTCGAATTTTTATGAAGCAAATTATAATGTTATTAATTAAATAAAATAATATTTATTGTTCACGGCTTGCTTATGAATAAATAAATAAATGTTTTATATTTGTCCTATCAAAGTTTTTGTAAAATTAGATTTTTGTACTTTGAAAATATTTTTTGCATAATTTCATTTATTAATCCGTTCATTAACTCATTTATTTATTAATATATTTATTTACTTAGTTATTACATCTCATTATTACAGTTTTTTTTACTTTAAGAATATATACTTTATAATTTATTTTGATAAACAACTTTTAAATTTTTTGTTTGCTAGTTGTTATGCTGCTTTATCAGTTATTTTTTTTGTAAATTTTGATTTTTTTAAATTCTAATTTATTTTAAAAAACAACTCTTAAATATTTGTTAAAAATATTCTTTGTATACTTTCTAAATAATTTTTTAGAAACAACTTTTAAATTTTTGTTTGTTAGATTTATATATTATAGTTTTTTTTGTACATTTTTATTTTTCTTCCTTAATAAAATGTTTTTTTTGAAGACTTTCTCATCTAATTTATTATACAAATTATATTTCTGCACAATTTGTGAAGTAGAATTTTAATCTTCGCTTCCTGCACGTTTTATGATTTCAAACTATTTCAATGATTTTTTCATTTTTTATACACTTTCTGTATCCAGTTACTCGAGTTTCAGCTGATTATTTCTTACTAAAACAATGTGTATATTAATTTGTATGCATAATGCTTATTTTGTTACCAATATTATTTTAGTTACTAATATTATTATTTAGTTGTAGATTTTTTGCATGCCTTGCTTTTGCTTTAAATGTATTTTTCTGTAACATTTCATGTAGTTTGCACGGCCGAGGAGTAAATATCATCCACAGGTTTCTATTTATGTAAGTTTTTATATAACAAATATTTAATAATAATCATTATATATATATATATATATATATATATATATATATATAACAACATAGTTTCATAAGAATAAATTAGTAAAAATATGAATTTTTGTCAGTAATTTTACATTACCTTTACTACATACATACATTTGTTTATAACTATTTATTCTAAATTAAAATATGTTCCAAACAATCACAATCATTTACTACTTCTCATCTAGATTTTATATAAATTTTCTTATACTATTACTAAACTTATGTAATTTTTTTTAGCACGATTCCTTTGTGATTGCAAGAGCTGATTTGGTACACGAAAGGCCTACTCTATGGCGTGTGGATGGAAAGTCGCTGTTGCAGAAGTTTGAGCCATTTGAGAGAGATGGCACACTGCTTTATAGGAATATATCTACTGTAAGTGTTAGAATTGTAATTTAATATGTATATATACATATATATATATATATATATATATACATATATATATATATATATATATGTATATATATATATAATTTTTTTTCCAGTATGCGGCCTGGGTCCCAGAAAACAGGCGCCTGTACGTAGTGGCCCCCGTTAGAATCCTCAGCCACACGCACCAGGAAACCATCGTCGAATTTCTGCGCAACATGCTCGTCCTCAACGACCAGCAGCAGGAGCACCAGAACAACACAAACGCTCCCAACAATCCACCGACTGCTCCACCACAGAACGTTGTAAACAATCAACAACAACAGCAAGTGGTGGTGCAGGGAAACAATCAGCAACAACAGCAACAGCACCAGGTGATTGCGAATAACCAGCAAGTGCATCAGATTGCAAACAATCAGCAGCAGCAGGTGATTGCGAATAATCAGCAAGTGCAGCATGGTGGTGTTGTGAGAGCCGGTGGAAGGGATAATGATTTTATACAGAGGTGTATGGATTCGACGATGGTGTATCAGGATAACTTTGAGGTTTATATACAGACGCTGATTTCGCAGTCGTTGGATTCGAACTTTTTGACGGAGATCTTCCAAGAACAAGGTAATAATAGACACATGGCAAGTTGTAAATTGAAATACAGTAGAACCTCGATTATCCGGACCTCGGTTATACGGATTCGCGATTATCCGGACATAATCGCGTCGGAACTTGCATATTCTGATGTGCATATATGCATTAATACGTTCTCTGTTTTGACGTGCATTTTATATACAGTTTTAAAGGGTGGTATTATCTCTTAAAGATAAAATAAATATTTAGAATCATTAAAATGGCGAAACCGGCCGTAAGTTAGCTAATAGGTATGGTGTAGTGTAGATATATCCACTATAAGCGATATTAAAAAAAATGCCGATTCAATTTTGTCGTACATTTGCAAGTTAGATAGTGAAGAGGGGAGTGAAAATCGGAAAATGATGAAGAAACGGAAAAATTAACTCTTAGAAGAAGCTTTATATTATTGGTTCTTACAAAAACGATCAACTGGACAGCCGATATCTGTGAAAAGGCATTACAGTTAAATGAAAAATTAGGCGACTATGAATCGTTTGTGGCAAGTAGAGGATTGATTTTTGTTGATATCTATGTATGTATTTGTTATTTTTGATAAACAGAACATTATTCTTCATAATTTGGATTATCCGGATTTTCGATTAACCGGATGCCTATCGACAACAATTAGTCCGGATAATCGAGGTTCTACTGTATTGTTAATTTGTTTGAGTAACAGTTGTTTTTTTTATTAACTTTCCGTACGGTAAGTTATAGTAATGGGCCGAAAATCGAAAATGAAAATTTTTGCATTTCTCGACGTTTTAAAGGTTTCTGAACATTTTACTGGCATACCTCAAAAAATTAATGTGTGTGTGTGTGTGTGTGTTTTATATGTCCGCATTTTTTCGTCCACGTTTCCGGGCGCACGGATCAACCGATTTGAATGGTTTAAAAAGCATTCGATCCCTATTGATAGGGAGATGTACTGATTAGTTTTTGGCAAAGGCAGGTCCAGCTTTTACGGAGATACGGAGCAAAGATTGCAGAAAATACAAATCGAGTTTTTGAGAGAACGGATCATCTGATTTGTATGATCCAAAAAACATTCAGTTCGTAATGACGGGTAAAAGTGGTTATTAGTTTTTGGCAAAGGGCAGGTCCAGCGGTTTCGGAGATACAGAGCTAAATGTGCAAAAATGGCAGTTTTTTGGAGTACTAAGCGTCCGATTTGAATGATCTAATAAACTTTCTGCTTGTATTGGCAAAACAATTGCTTTCGAGGATAAAAAAATTATTACACTTTTTTTTTATTTTCCATAAAAGATTTTTGTAGTTTTGGATTAAAAATTCAAAAAATGACCCAGGCTAAGCACAGTCTAAGCGCCACTTTGGTACAAATGTTTACCTAGGTGCGTTTAGACTGTTTATGTACTGGAGCACTTTTCCAATTTTGTGAGAAAACCATTGAAAATGTGAAAATGCCGCCAACCTAAGCACAGTATAAGTGAAAATGTCGCACAGAATTGTTTCCAAATGCGTTTAGACTCTGACTATGAAGGAGCACTTTTTCAATTTTGTGCAAATTAGGCAACTATTTTTTTGATTTTGAAATTGAATTCGAAATGAAATGACGATTGTTAATGTTCTAGAGATAAATTGATTGATTTATGATTTTCATTTGATTTGCTCAGATATAACAAAATAGCAAAAATAATGAAAGTTACAGTATTTGTAATGATATATTTGAAAACGTTCAAAATTTCTCGAATATTTCATTACGGTACGGAAAGTTCCAGCAATTTGCCTTAAGGCATGATGCCATACACCACTAGTTTATTTTTTATTTTACAAGACTTCAATACAATAATATTATTTTAACAAGGCCCATGACAATATTTTACAAAATTTTATATAGTTACATTGATATATTTAATATATATATTTATTCTTTTTTTTATCAATTTTATTTAATTTTAATTTTATTTTTATAAGCTTACATTATAAGTACATATATTTTTTTATTAATTAATAAGTATTCTTACAATTATTATTTTTTTACTTCTATTAAGTTATAAGTTTACTCCTAATAATTTTCTTTTACTTAGATGAGTATTTCCTGAGCAACGTTAAAACGGTAGACGATCTAACAAACGACCGAAGGATCTGTCTAGTGAACATCAGTCGTATACCTAGAAACCTAGAATTATCTGTGGCCACCTGGCCTTGTTTTAATATTATAACTGAATTAGGGGTGCAACAAGGAGCCCAATGTATTGTTTGTCAAAATTTGTTGAGGGACGGAGGACAAGCCAGGTTGCTTCTGTTTGGACAACCTTATAATCAGGTCACGCTTGAAGGCTGTCAGCCTGATGGAAGTATCAGAATGGAAAAGGTAATAGATAGATATATGTAAAATATCAGTAATTAAAAACAGTTTTATTGAAAGAAAATACAATACATTTGTTTATTCTGCGTTTGTTTCTCATTTTTATATACTTTTACAATATATATTAGTTATAAAACAAATTTATTAAATTGATTAGATTTATGTTTTTTTACATGTTTTTATTTATATTTTTCTGTAATTATGTATTTTTAACTTCCCGTAGGGTAAGTTATTGTAATGGGCCGAAAATCGGAATTGAAAATTTTTACATTTCTCGACGTTTTGAAGGTTTCTGAACATTTTGGCATACCTCAGAAAAAATGGATGTGTGTGTATGTGTGTGTGTGTGTGTGTGTATGTATGTGTGGATACAAATATCCAGTCACGTTTTAGGGCGCACGGATCAACCGATTCAAATGGTTCAAAAAACATTCGATTCCTATTGATAAGGAAAAGAGCTGATTAGTTTTTGGCAAAGGCAGGTCCAGCCGTTTCGGAGATACGGAGCAAAGAGTGCAGAAAATAGAAATCGAATTTTTGAGAGAACGGAGTATCCGATTTGAATGATCTAAAAAACATTCAATTAGTAATGATTGGAAGAAGTGTTTATTAGTTTTTGGCAAAGGCAGGCCCAGCCATTTTGAAGATACGGAGCTAAATATGTAAAAAATGGCAGTTTTTGAGAGAACTAAGCGTCCGATTTAAATGATTCAAAGAACTTTCTGCTTCTCTTAACAAAATAATTGATTTTGGAAAAAAAAATTTTGTTCCATTTTTTTTTTTTTTTTTTTTTTTTTTTTTTTTTTTTTTAGTTTTTTGTAAATCGAAAACATTTCAGATTTTATTTTTAATTCTGACTATAGTTCTAATATACTTTACAAATAATTTCAACTCTGCAATTCAGTTTATATAATTCTTATAAATATTAGACAATGTTACAATATTTATAATAATCTATTTGAAAACATTCAGTATTCCTCGAACATTTAGTTACGGTACGGGAAGTTCCAGCAATTTGCCTTAAGGCACGATGCCATAATTGCCTCAAGACAGAATTCCACTTACAGCTAGTTATATTGTTTTAAATTGTAACCCTGAAATATTTAATTGTAGCACTGAAGATGGGTCAAATCAAGACCCAAAACGTATGTTTTCTTAATAAAAACATTTTCGTTCAATAAAACTTTTTAATTACTGAATTGATGTCCAAGAACTATTTTATCATATTATTTCACCATCTGAAAAACCTCTCGCTTTATATATATATATATATATATATATATATATATATATATATATATTAAATAATTTGTGTCTCCTAGTAATTATAGATTTAAGTCTAAAGGGTAAGAATAATTTGTTAAAATTTGTAAATGAAATTTGCAAATAATTTATATAACAGCCCACTTATTTGTTATTATTAACTTCCCGTAGGGCAAGTTATAGCAATCGCAAAAAAATCGAAAATGAAAATTTTTATATATCTTTACGTTTCAGAGGTTTCTGAACATTTTGGCATACCTTAGAAAAAATGGATGTATGTGTGTGTGTGTGTGTGTGTGTATGTATGTGCGGATACAAATTTTTGTCGACGATTTCGGGAACACCGATCAACCGATTTGAATAATTCAAAAAACAGTCGATTCGTATTGATAAGGAGACGTGCTGATCAGTTTTTGGCGAAGGCAGGTCTAGCCATTCCGAAGATACGGGGCAAAAAGTGCCGAAAACGGTAACTCAGTTTTTAAGAGAACGGAACGTCCGATTTTAATAATTCAGAAAACATTTTACTTGTATTGACAAGGCGAAGAACCGATCAAATTTTCATGAAGGCAGGTCTAGCGGTTTCGGAGATCTAATGAAAAAAGTAAAAAAATGCCATTTGGCGGTCAAAAATGATCATTAGACATATGCAAATAAAATTATCAGATATTTTATAGAGATTTTAACAATAAGTATACATTTTGGTTTACATTTCTATGGGTTCCGTACCAATGTTTACGCGTTAGACGTCGACGCGGCGCTTACGCGCTTCGATATTTCGTCTTTATGCAGTTAAAGCAGTACGATTGCTTTGAAAAAAAGTTTAGATCTTTCAAAATATGTCAAAATAAAGAAAACATTTTTTTTTTCAAAAAAAATAATAAAAAAAAAATTTAAAAAAAATTTTTTTCAAAAAAAAGTAATTTTTTGTCCAATTTATAGTTTCTCAAAAATCTTATTTTTTCGAAGTAAATTTTTTTCAAAAATGTTAACCGTTTTTAAAAAAATAATATTTGGTACGGGAAGTTCCAGCAATTTGCCTTAAGGCACGATGCCTTAATTGCCTTAAGACAGAATTCCACTTACAGCTAATTCATTTATTTTCTCAAATATAATTAAGTTTAATGTCTAAAAGAACAAGTCCATTATCTCCATTATCTTTAACTCAACTATAAATTGTAACTTTTAATTGAATTTGTTGTATATTTTTTATCTTTTTATTTTTTATTCTCTTATACTATTGTAATATATTTCGGAAGTATGAATTTTATAATAAATTTCCTTTTCCTCTAGGACTTTTTGCTGTGTCGAGATTGCTCACCACGAATTGAACTTCTGAATAAAGTGGTGCATCAGAAATATTTGATGTTTATTGAATGTGCAAAACGTGTTACTGAAAAACGCACTCAGGACCCCAACAAGGACACCACTGTTATTCTGAATGAACTGCTGGCCGATGAGAATTGGTTGAGCCAGGTAAGAAATTTAAACATTCATTTATATCAATTTATATATATTTATTTTCTCGATTGAATTTATAAAATTATATATATATATACAGTAGAATCCGATTAGTATGCCGCCGGATATATTGACAACTGCTTAATATGACGTAATCGCACTAGAAAGTTTGGTTTCCATATAAAGTTCCTTAAAAAAACAGCTGTCTAGTCGGATATATTGACATCGCTTACATTGACATGTCGCTTATAATGACCCATTTTTGCAAAAAAATATGTCCAATTATAATGACCGACATGATTTTACATGATGTGGCCAAGTCTACGAAAGCAATTGCTATGTCTTTTGTGCACAATAGCACCAGGGACTGTTTTTACAATAAAATTATGTAAAGAAATCAATCAAAAATTACTGATTACTTATATTAAAAAAAAACACATTTGTATGTTTATGGGTAGGGTAGATTAATTATTAATGGCCCACCACGGATATCTCGTAAACAAGCAAAATTAGATTTTTTTTAACAAAAATATTTGATAGTAGAGGGCAAAAAATGTATAAACTCATAACCAGCCGTCACCTTTATTCTTATGACTTTGCTATCAGAAGATAAGCGGCACATAACTGCGATAAAAAGGACCAGCTGAACCTTTACTTTAGGTGTAAGCAATAAAATAGTAAAGTTTTTAAAAAAAGCAATTTTAAAAGAGATTAATTGAATAAATTGTTATTCCGGCTCTTCTGATGAATATTTCTGACCAATAGCAGGTCAATGTAATATACTGTGTTGTCCTTGTAACAAATGTACCCACAAAATTAATTAATTAATAGAAGAAATTGCATCTGTTTGCCTCCTGGTTGTTTCACTTTACCCCGTATGTGAAGTAAAATGGGTCAGATACCAAATATTTAAAAAATAGTAAAAAATATAATATTTATATAATTAAGAATTATGTACGTATGTATGTAACTTTTTCTGAACATAGTTCGATAGATGCTTTTTTGATGTATGTTATGTGTTGTTCATTGGGTTTAGACAGTATAATTATCGTAAGTCAAATTGGACCGTTGTGCTCCCGCCCTATCCTATGTCAATTTTATTTTATATTAAATTTAAATATGTGTCATTTTTATTTTTAATTAAAACGTTTGTATAGGCTTTTCTTTTAAATTACTGAAACATGTTACATATTTACATATTAAAAAGTTTTTCTTCAGTATGCTTAGTATGACGACCGGTTAGTATAACAAGATTTCGGCGTCCCTTCGATGTCATACTAAGCGGATTCTACTGTATATATATATATATATATATATATATATATATATATATATATATATATATATATATATATTCCGAACAGTAAATCCAATAATAAAAAACAATTTGTTTTTTGAAGATGTGAATTTGAAGATGAAAAAACAATTTGTTTTTTGAAGATGTTTAATACGACGTTTCGGAACTAGGTACGTTCCATCATCAGGTTTATTCTGTCAAATACAATGTTTTTTTTTAAATATTGATTAACATTAATTAATGATGGTCAATACAGATTAATTAGAAAAAAATTTTATAAAGGAATGGAAATTTTTTTCTAATTAATCTGTATTGACCATCATTAATTAATGTTAATCAATATTTTTAAAAAACATTGTATTTGACAGAATAAACCTGATGATGGAACGTACCTAGTTCCGAAACGTCGTTATTACACATCTTCAAAAAACAAATTGTTTTTTAAATTTGGATTTACTGGTCGGAAAAGAAACAATCAATATATTGAAAAAATCCAGGACTTATCTATTGAATATATATATATATATATATATATATATATATATATATATATATATATATAACACTTCAGATTTAACTGCTTTTTCTATATACAAATCTGAAGTTTTGACCTAATCTGTATTTACATAATTTTTAGAAAATCTTTGTCATTTGAATTTATTATTAAGAATGTTGCTCAATTTAAAATATTTTTGTTTTGAGACAGAAAGGTTTTTTTTGGTTTTAAAATATTAAAAACTAGCTAAATGTTGAATACTTGATTATTAATCTTATGAATCTGTAAAAATTCAATTAAATAACAATTACTCAGCATTCTCTATTAATTCAATATACTATTAATTTTATTAATAACTCTTACTTACTCTAGTTGTTCCGAGACGTAAGAAGCACCTGGGCAGAAGTGGACCACATGGAGCACCAGTGGCGCCTGTCCAGACAATGATTTCCCACTTCAAACGGTGTGTGTTTTATCGATGACAATTTTATTTACCGACTGCAAGACGTTTCTAGGTAGGCAGTCAAAGTGATAATTTTATTATGCTTTTGAATTATGATACACAATATTAATCTATTTACAAACAAACAAACAAACAAACAAACGGTTTATTTTGGACATTTAAAATTTGAAACAAGTGTTGTTGTAATGTTTTTTTTATATTAGCTTAAGAGTTTTGTTAATAAAGTTAAAACGTGTTAAGCTTTAATTATAGTTTTATGCTGAACATGTATGTACAATTTTACAAAAAGGCGTATTTATTGTATTTAAGTAAGTTTTTTTAAAGCATTTTGATCAGGGAACGGTTAGACATTTTTACAATTTTATTTTTGTGATTTTATGTACAATTTTACAACATATTTACTTTACAAAAGCATATTTATTATGTATTAATATTAAGTTTTAAAAGCATTTTAATTAAAAGGCTACATTTTTATGTACAATTTTGGATATAAGATACAACAAATCACCTTTTAGGCTATTTTATGAATTAAATTATTATTATTAAGAAGCACGTATAGAAATAGTTGTTTGTTTACAATGTTCTCGGTTTGTAATATTTATGAACATTCCAATTGTGTCTACTTGTGTTTCTATGAATGTAGCTATAAGGGAGCATTGTAATTCACAAAGATGCTTTTTGTTGCTAAAGAGGAAATATTTTAAAATACTCAATACGAGATACAAATTTTACAAAGTTTTCTATTTGAATTTAGCGCGTGAGCGCGCATAAGTTAGTTTGTAAAGTAATGTAAAATATTTTATAGCTTTTAATGTGGACACTTAACTTGTATTAGCCCCTTGATTATGAAATCATTATATATATATATATATATATATATATATATATATATATATATACGTGTATATATATATATATATATTTATATTTATAAACTATTTATTTAAATTATTTTTGGATTTTTTGCAAAAATTATACAGTAAAACCTCTTTATTCTTGCGTAGCTTCTTGAGAAATTCGTATTTGGGTCTTTGAAATTTATTTTGTGATATGTCACACGTTAAATACAGTTTGCCTATCGGCCAGTTGCTGTTTTTTAACAAAATTTATCCACAAATTCAGTTTTCAACTAATATAGATATTAAATTCGTGTTCGTCTAATCGAGATCTATTTTTTGATACGTCGCATGCAAAAAACGTGTTCTAGTTTTGCCTTGGGGCAAGTTGCTGTTTAACAAATTCAGTTTTAAACGAAAATAGATATTAAATTTGTGTTCAGCTCTTCTAGATTTATTTTGTGATATGTCATACGTTAAATACAGTTTGACTATCGGCGAGTTGCTGTTTTTTCAACATAATTTATCCACAAATTCAATTTTAAACGAAAATCGGTATTAAATTCGTATTCGGCTCATCGAGATCCATTTTTTGATACGTCACATGCAAAAACGTGTTCGTGTTTTGCCTAAGGGCAAGTTGCTGTTTTTTTTTACTCACATAATTTGATTGGAATAAATTTTACATAGAATTTTAACAGTTCTGAAGCAAAACAGATATTAAATTTGTGTTCGGCTATTCAAGATCTATTTTTTTATGTGTCTCATGTCTAAATATACAGTTTGAGATTTACCTATAGGCAAGTTGCTGTTTTTCTTCAAAAGTTATCTACAAATTCTTTTTGAAACGAATATTGATAATAAATTCGTATTCGTCTCTTCGAGATCGTGATCTATTTTTGCGAAACGTGATCTATTTTTGCCTTAGGGCAAATTGCTGTTTTTTTTTTCATATAATTTAATTTGAATAAATTTTACATGAGATTTCAACAGTTTTGGACGAAAACAGATATTAAATTCGTCTTCAGCTCTTTAAAATCTATTTTTTTATGTCACACGTCTAAATATACAGTTTGAGATTTGCCTATGGGCAAGTTGTTGTTTTTTTTTTCACTTAATTTAATTGGAATAAATTTTACATCAGATTTCAACAGTTTTGGACGAAAACAGATATTAAATTCGTCTTCAGCTCTTTAAAATCTATTCTCTTTTTGTCACAAGTCTAAATACAGTTCGAGATTTGCTTATGGGCAAGTTGCTGTTTTTAAAAAAAATCACTAATTTAGTTTGCAACGCAAATAGATATTAAATTCGTGTTCTGCTCTTCAAGTTCTATTTTTTTATATGTCACATAATGGATACAGTTCGAAATCCACCTATGGGCAATTTGCTGTTTTTCCATGAATTCGATTTATTATTTTGTTACTAATTAAATATTAATGAAATTTAAAAATTGATTTAAATGGTGCTGTACGAATCTGTTTAATCCTAGTAGCAATTTGCTAATTTTACAATTTTGTTATAAAAATCTAGCCGGCATATTTGGTTTTTAAACGATAAAATGAATTAAAATTGATATTAGATTCGTATTCAGCTCTTCGAGATCTATTCAATGATATGTCACATGATAAATGTAGTTCGACATTTGCCTATGGGCAAGTTGCTTCACTTAATTTTTCCGCGGGTTCCGTTATATTATTTTGCTTATTAATTTTACACAAGATAACAAAATAAATTATACCTGTTATTATTCTATTTGAAGGTATTTGTAAATGATATAGTTCTTCAAACTTACTTTTTATTATAAATATCTATCGTCGAATATTGGAGCTAAAAGAAATCAAGTCAAGATTTTATGAACGTTTCATGTTTTCCCAGGATTTTTTCCAGTTTTGCGCGCAACCTGGAACGACCGCTTATTCTAGGTTAAGCGCACATTGCCCGAAACGCGGACGAAATTATTTAACAAAATATAATAATTTTGGTAAAGTTATATTTATAATAAATGTTGAATTGTATAGTTATTGGAGTCCGTTTATTATATATGTTGTTGTTACTTAATAGATTTACGAATAAAGAAATATTTACCCGCAAATTTCGTAAATTGTCCGCATTTTTTGTTTTAAATTCGTGAATAATAAAGAGCTTTTACTTTGTAATGACTTTGTGCAAAACTAAATAGAAAGTTTATAAGAATTCAAAAATAGTTATATATATATATATATATATATATATATATAATGAAATAAAGGTACATGTTATTTAAAAATTAAATCATGTTTGCTTGCAAGTAAAATTTATAACTTCATAATATAAATTTGTTCAAAATTAGTTTGTAAGATTTTATATTTGGTTCGACACTTTAAAATATTTTTGGGCTAATAATAATTTATGAATTTGTCTTGAGAGATAATAGTACTTATGAAATAATTTGGGATATAATTTAACTACATTATTGTTTGCACAAAATCTAATGTTTTTTTAAATTATTTTTTTACTGTTATCTCTCCAGCAAGTGTGTGTGTGTATGTACAGTAGAAAGTACAGCAGTTCTTTCTGGTTTAGAAAGTAGTATGCTGCATTGTATATAAATTCATAACCAGGCTGTAGACGATCTTTATATATATAAACAAACAGTGTTTTAATATCAATAATGACAGATATATTTATAATATGTATAGTATGTACACTACAAATACAATTATGATGATTACTATTAACAAACATCCATAAGTTACACATTAATGCTATTATAGAAATGATTGGACATGAACGAAGAGTGTTGTCATGTAATGTGCATATATAATTAAAAATTATATTCTTGTTATCGAGTGATTTATTTTTTTAATTATTTAATATGTATTAATTATATATATATATATATATATATATATATATATATGATTTGTAGGTTTTTAAACTCAGTTATTAATTATTGATATTAATGATGATTTTGCATAAAGTACAAATTTAGAAATTACATGCAATTGTCTTGCGCATTTATTAAAATAATGTAAACTAGTTGTAAGTGGTACTTTGCCTTAAAGCAGGTTGTGTGAACTTCCTAATACTTAATCAATAAGAAATTATACTTATATATTTATAATTATATATATATATATATATATATATATATTTATATATATACACCAGGAAAGGATATATATATATATATATATATACATATATATATATAGAATTTTATGATATGAGTGGAACGAATATTAATTGTTTAATATGAACAAAACAGCACTCAGATTTTTTTATCACAACTTTATTTTATTATTACAAACGTTTCGAGACTAAGGTGTGCCTTATCATCAGTGTAATTTCAATAACAGTTATTTATTACTAAACATTCTTTTAATATTTTATTTAAAACTAAATTTGGACTTTTTAATATAAGTTATATTAATATAAGTAATTTTAATATAAGTTAAATTTAAAACTAAATTTGGACTTTTTAATATAAGTTATATTAATATAAGTAATTTTAATATAAGTTATATTAATATAACTTATATTAAAAAGTCCAAATTTAGTTTTAAATAAAATATTAAAAGAATGTTTAGTAATAAATAACTGTTATTGAAATTACACTGATGATAAGGCACACCTTAGTCTCGAAACGTTTGTAATAATAAAATAAAGTTGTGATAAAAAAATCTGAGTGCTGTTTTGTTCATATTAAACAATTAATATTCGTTCCACTCATATCATAAAATTCTATATATATATGTATATATATATATATATATATATATATATATATCCTTTCCTGGTGTATATATATTTATAAATATATATATATATTATTATATCCTTTCCTTGTATATATATATATACAAGTATGGAATTAATAATTTTATATATTTCAATTAAATATATATTTATTATTATTTTGATTCTGGGTGATTAAAATAATTATATCTGGAGGTTCATACAACGTGCCCTAAGGTAAAATGTAACTTATTTCTAGTTTGTATTTTAATTGTATAAAAAAATAAATTTTGAAGTATTGTATTTCTTTATAGCAAGTATAATTATTACTCTTCGATTGTGCTGCATATGTTCGAGTACACAAGCTGAGCTGTTCAAGGTATGTCTGAATGAAATATATTAAATGCCAAAATTAAATAAATTATAATATATATACATATATATATATATATATATATATATATATATATCTCCATGCATTCATGCTTCTAGGCGCAGTCCATATACTATATATATGGTCCGTGCATGATATATATATATTTATAATTTATAATATAACAACGGTCC